ACCCGATATTGTCAATAGAAACAACCCTACAATTTAAACAATTAATTTGACTCTTTTCAACATAATTATCGTGTTCCAATGGATTTTTCAAAAACAAGATTAGTGTTACATTATTCACAATATTTAACACTATATGGTTAATTGAATACAATTTTGCCCTGTAATAAAACTTTCAAAGTTATTGAACTTGTTCGAACTCGAAAAAGAAAGTGGGTCATATGATCAAAACCAACAAAAATGATGTGGTCCAAAGTAAAGCAATATCAAACTGGGTATCGGTCATAATCAAAGAACCCCCAATCGACATCATTTCACTGACAATTAATGCGATGGTCACATTATTGGAAACATTAAGTGGGACTAAATGCCCTTACAAATATGATAAAAACCCCAAAACAAAGTTTTCGCATATTGGCAATTTGGATTGTTTTGTTCAATTTGCAATTTCTCTGGGTGTCAAGGTGTATGGCATCAATGGTACAGATTTAATGGATAAAAATATTCGGACATATTTGGCTTTGTACAACGGCATTATAAATCGCTTTGTCATGATCAACGCAAAGGAACTTAAAATCATTCACCAGTGGTTTGGTAACTTAATAGGGCAACCCATTCGATCAACAAAAGACTGGGGAAATAAGAAAACACTAACTAAATTATTAAGGTGTGACACCCCATTTCAGAGACTTACTGAAATTGGAGTGCCCACAATTGTCGAAGAACAAGACTTTGGAAAGGACGACTTCTCAATGAATTTGTTGCTTGTCTACATCTATGAAAAAAGAATTAACATTGATGTGATGCACAAAGAAATGTTCATTGATTTCACTGGAGATAAACGCATAGTTGAAGGCACTGTCGAAGAACTCAAGATCATTAAAACTGGAACTTTGATTAAACCCACTTTAATTGATGCAACAAAAAACACTCCAGTTGTTGTCGAGGAAAAGGAAAGTGAATTGAAGTCTCAAGTCACAAAACTCAGTCAGAAAGACTCGACATCCACTTTTAGTTCAAGTGAAGAGGATGACAATTCCCCACGATATATTGAAGATGAATCAAATGAGAAAATTAAGAAGGAAGAAAGGAAGAAAAACGTTGGACATCATTCAAAAGAGAAAAATTTATTAAACACTCAGCGCATAAGTAACAATCAAACACTGAACACTGTCCAACCAAAAGTCGAGAAAATTGAAATTATTCCGCCAAAGAATTTAACAAAAGAAATCAAAGAAAGTGATATTAAACTTGTTGAAACAAACATTCAACCTCCTATAGAGAAAAATGAAGTAAAGCCAATTTCAGAGACAAACAGAAAAGAGAATTTCATTCGAGAAAATTTACTGATAGCAAGAAATCTGCATCAAAACGAAATAGCACATAAATCCCTTCCAAATATTTTGCATTTGGTAGAACCAATAAAACACACTGAAGTGGAACAGAATCGCCAATTAGTCGAACAAAAAGTCTTGGACGAAGTCGAAACACCACAAGAAGTTTTTCATGAAAAAGAAGAAATACCAAAACTAAGTGAAAAAGAAATTGAGAAGGTAATAACAAAAGATGAAGAAATGCAACAAAACGTCATTGAAAAACAAGAAGATATAATTCTTGTGGAAAAAGAACAACACAAAGAAATTCAAGAAGATGTAAACTTTACAATTATAGAAGAAACAAAAGAAATCCCAAATAAGAAAAATCCATTAACTTTTAATGAAGAAAATTTACACCACGAAGTAACTGAAAAGGAATTGCCACCACCTCCAGTGTTGGATTCTTCATATTTAGAGAGTCTAAATAACGAAGAGGAAGTCAAATACACTCCATTGGGGTTACCTCCTCAAATTCCACAGGAATGTCACAAAGAGGAACAAAAGGCGCTTCAAAAAGAGATAGTGAACACCAGAGTTGAAACACAAGTTGAAACTCCTGTTGTTTGTGAGAAAGAAAGTGGTACAAAAACAGTGCCTGAAACAATCAAACAAATAAGAGAAGGTGAGAAACTAGACACTTTTTCAACACAAACGGATGTATCACAAGAGTGTACAATTGCACCACAAATTGAAGAGATAAAAACACCCAAAGAGGTCATTGAAACAAAACCAATTGAAGTTCCTATTGCACCACAAAAGACGGTTACAGTCGAAGGTTCGCCGACCGTGAAAGCAATTGTGAATCCAATTCATATTCCCCCTCTATTGACACAAGAGAACCATTTAAAAGACGATGAGTACTTGGAACAAGACGAAGACTTCATTAAAGAGACTGAACAACAAATAACTGGTCGTCAAAAATCACACGTGTCGACCTCAAGCGATTCATATACTGTATCAGCCATCGCACAATTGGCTATCTCAAAAAGTGCGCAAGATGTCACAAAGTGTAATCCACTCAATACCGACAAAACAGAGGAGGTGTCGCCAGTAATGATCACTATAGTCCCACAAAACACAAACGGAAAAGAGGAAGAATTAGCAAAGAAGAAAAAGATCAAAAAGATCGACTTTACACGACCAAGAATATTGGCGATGTCTCAAGACACTATGCCAGACAGTCCCGGAAGAAATCGGATTGCTTCACTCGGGAACTCTTCCCCAAGAAATACAGACACCGGTAAATTCAAGGCTGCAGGAGCTCTTTCTTGTATTCAACGACAACGGAATAACACCTATTTAAAGGAAGAATATATCAATCCCTCAATTCTGACTACGCCACGTGGAATGCTATTAAAAGACCAACGTGTTGAAGGGGATCGACTCTTCAAAATGGAAGTGGAGAATAAAATTCGAATGGAACACGACATGGCGAAGATCAGAACATTTGAGGAGAAGAAGAATGAGTTTTTGAGGTCTGTTGATCCAAATTATCTGATCAAGTCGTATTTCGACGAGTTGAAAGGGTGGGTCGGCAAAGAGGAATTTACTATTGTGTTTGATTCAATGAAAACAAATGCATTTGATCCTGCGGGGTTATCTGACTTAATGGTCATTTGTGTTGGTAAGAATATGAATATCTTCGGGTGGTACAATTCAAAAGTTTGTTTTAATTGCTTCAATTATATTTATAATAAATATCATTTATAATAATTATAGTAATTATAATAATAACATATAGAAAGTGCCCGAAAGTGGATTTATTAAAAACGACCCAAAACACTTTATGTTCACCCTTCAAAATCAACTCAATGTGCAACCGTCACAAATCTTCCCAATGAAAAAGCGTTGTTTCACGTTTGGTGTTGACGACGCGCCTTCATTTTATTTAAAAAAGACATTAAAGGTCATGAAGAAAGAAAAGGTGTATGTGGTCGAAATGGGAATGAAGTTCAAACAAAGATATAAAGACTTTACACTTGCGGGAGATGGTCTTTTTATAAACAAAGACAACGTCCTTGAAAAGGTGATAATTGTTCAGTGGAAATAATTTGTTATATGTTGTATTCTTGGTATTTAAATGTTATTTATAACATTTTCCTGATTTTTGTTATATAAAAATCAAAACTACAATATGTGAACTACAAAATAAAATTCACAAATTCTTCATCTCTAATTTGAGGTGTTTCAGACATAGTCTAATAATAATATAGTTCAATAAACTATACATTTTGTTGAAATATCTAAATTTATACCTTCTTCTTACTTATTTCGAAGAAAAAGAACGCAGAATCGTCTTGAAATATCCAAAAATAGAATGTGATTATTGTCGAGTTTTTATGGTTTCAAAAGTATTATAAATATATTATAATCTTATTAAAAAGAGAAAATGACGAACCAGAATAGGGGGGTATAAAAGAGTTCCAAAATCGAAAACTTCACCGCAGAAAAAGAGATGGAAAGCACGCCCCACACATCAGAACGAGATAATATGAAAGCTCGGAAGTATAGTTCAGTTGCTAATGAAAATAGAAAAGAGATGATCTTAGTTAGTGTATTAAACTATTTAGGATATTCCTTTCTCTTTCAAAAACCCAAGAAATTCACTGTTCATACTTCTCTTCCTTTTATTAATATAGAAAAGTGCTTTGATCAAACAAACAATGTTGTTCTCTCTTATGAAGAATTAAGAGCGGAGGCTTTATCTCTTAAAGTTGGTGAAGGGAGAAATGACAAAGAGAGGAGAATCACGCAGTTCATCAGAAACAAAACGGTGAATCGACTTGTTGACATCCTCCAAACACTTCCTTTTGTTACAGTAGAAGAGAAGAAATCAACAAAACAAATCACAGTCAACACATCCACTCCAATCACTCGGAAGTTGAAATCTATTAGCTTAACTGACCAAGTCGGTAATATCTTTGTCATCAACTTGAAAAAGGAATCGATGATAACTTACGTCGACCAATTGCATTCTTCAGTGTTCCAACAAGCCATTAACTTGGATCTTTATCTTCAACAATACACAATCGATATCAATTCATTTGTTGAAGTTCTTCAGTCGCCAGAGGCGGTTTCCTGTACCAATTCTAATTCTTTTGAATTAGAACAACAAATAACACCTCAAAACTATTACTATTGCATTTATTAAATATGTTTACTTAATTTTATGATTTCTTATGAAACTTCAATTTATAGTAGTTGATACTAAACTGTTTTTCAAAAGTCGGTACCGAAAGGACCCGACTTTTTGAAGTAAATGATTCCAAATATTTTTCATTTTGTTTGACATCGTTTTTTTGCTTATTTTTTTCCCTCTTATTTTTTAAAAAACAAACTTGACTGAACCTTGAATTTAGACCAAGCTAAAAAATTAAATAAAAAATAACAAGGAAAATATCAAATAACTTACTTCTTCAAAAATTTTGCTTGACCATATGGTTGTTTTTGCCGTGAGTAAAACCGACTTTTTCTCTTTTCAAAAGAAAATGTTAATGATCCAACAAATAATAAAAATCTTTCAATTTCATTAACACTTACAACACAAAGAAAAGATTATTGAAAATAAAAATAACCATTTAATATGTGTAGTGTTTCAAAGTTTGTTTTTTTTAAAGAGACAACCATAAAATAACAACAAGTTAGAACGATTTATTGTGTATTTTGAAGTGGGGGAGAGTCGTAATGTGAGAGGTAAAATACGGTTATCTCACCCATTCAAACTACTCGTCCATTACCAAAAGGCAAAAATGCCGATTTTTTGAGAATCTCAACAGTGAAAAAGACTGAATAACAGTCTCAGAAAATCGGACAAGTTTGTTCTAATTTTTTGTTAAAATCCCGAAATTTTAATTGAAATTTATAACTGTATTGGTTTTGAGGGTTAAAAAGTCGGTACTGTTTTTTCTTTTTTTCAAATGGAAATTATAAATGAAAACAACAAAAAAACTTTAAAAAACGGGAATTTATTATAAAAGGGTTTCCACTAATAATTGGTAAAGTACCGACTTTTGGCATACAGTTTAGTAATTAATTTCCATACTCAAGACTAGTAATAATTAATATTAATAGTTTCAAATTAATTTACTCGTTATAATAAAATACTATAATAAAATACTATAATAGAACCCAAATGATGTTCTTAATTACGAATACCTCAACTCATTTTGAGGAGCTTTCCAACACCTTCAAGCCCAGAAAGTATTTCAAAGTATTCCTGTGGCATTGAAGACTCAGTGCAAAATTGTGAAAAGTTCGTTTCTCCAATTTCATTAGCTATGATATTCAGATTGTCTATTGCTTTTTGGTTCTTATTATACTTATCAAGTGATTTGAACCCATACTTCTCTCTATATTTCGATACAAGAAATAGAACCACATTCCTCAGTTTTTTCTCTTGTTCTTCTTCTTGCATTTCGTTCCGAACATTTTCGACGATTTCAACGATGTCAAACATCGGGTCGTCTTCGACTAAATATTCAATTTCAAAGCCATTCGCTGTTTCAAAGTAAATGTAATCATTCACATCCCACTCATCCATCCCGATGTTATTAATGCTCCTTTCCTTAATACCTTGTCGAAGATACAAATCCCTCTCCATTGAAATCTCAATATTCGAACACTTTTGAACAACATCAGAAGTTTTGTATGACCTCCCAGTCACATTATCTTCCACCTGTAGTATTCCACCGTCACACTCAAAGTGTTGTAATAGCAAAACTCCACATCGCGTCATCTCACTTTGAGATGGAAACTTCATTTGCTGGTCAATTCCATTCTGTTTGTAATATATAGTGAACCGTTCTTTGTCGACTTTCTGTTCGACTTTGACTATCCGAATGGCATTCTGATCTTTGTCGATTAGGTCTGTGACAATTCTCCCTATGAAACAACACCCCGCAGCTACTGTTGGCTCGTTCTTACATGTTAAAAGTAGTTTATACTCGTTGGACTTGAATATCTTTTGAAAGCCAAGTGGAGCAGCTCCACGCCCGGTAATAACACAATCACACGTCCCTTGAAGTTTTCTGGTGTTCATGTCTTCAATAAGAGCAACAGCACTCTCAGTCACTGTTTTATCATATATCTCATAGAATTCAGTTTCAGTGATTTTGATCTGAGTCATTGTAATGTCGTTGTCGATACACAAATCGCACCACTGCGCATTCGACTGGAATAAATTTTTGACCTTCTGAACCGCCTCTTTGACTGAGTCGGTGAAGAATTTGTTTCGCTCGAGAGAAATTGTGTCGTCCGACTTTTGAATGATCAACTTCTCCAATTCCGTTTCGAACGTGGTGGTCTCGTTGATGGATTTTTTAAAGACGCTGTCGATGGTAACAACATTGTTTTCGTACGACACACACCACTGAGTTATATGCGTATGGCCAACATCGAAAAATGCGACGTTTTGTTTAGTTGGGTGGTTCAACTTGAAGTTGAAATAAAACATTGAAACGGCAACATGTGAAGGTACAAAGAGTGTGTTGATCCCCAAGTACTCTGCAATCGTTGTAAAATAAGGCGCATAAGCTTCATCTTCACAAGAGATGATTAAATAATACAGTGTAGTATGAACTGCTTGTAAGTCCAACACCAGTTTCGCGAACTGTTTGCAATTCTCATTCAAAAATTCAATGCTCTTTGTTTTACTTGGAATATAATGTGATGGAAGAATTTTTGTTTTGAAGGAGAATTTATCGACTACACAAACCGTTGTTTGTGTTGCTCCCAGGTCTACACCAATTATATACTTTTCAGGTTGCTGTGCCATTCACTCTTTTTTAAAGTTTTTTTGGTATCTATTTGTCTCTTCAAATGATGTTTGTCAAATTTCTATTGAATAATTTGTTTATAATTTATGTACTAATAAACAGTGAATTTAAAAATTGAACTTTTGGCTATATTTGATAGTTTTTATTTGAATGAATTCAAATTGAAATGAAATTTAAAGCATTATGGAAAAAAAAAAACAAAGGAAATAATACAAAATAAAACATCTGGTTTAAAAAAAAATAAAAAAGCCATTCATTAATAATAAATAAATTAAATAAAAACAATAAAAAATAAAATGGATGAAAATAAAACGACAGTTAAAGAAACAGCATTTGTTTGATGTAAAGAACTAAAAAACAATAATATGACGGATACTCCAGACCTTCATTTGACTCCAAATAGCTTTAAGCCGTCACATCCATCAATGTTCCACAGAATATTTAGCGCTGTATTTGACCAACCTTTCAATGTGATTGAGCCGTACTACCTTAGAAATTTGATCTTTGAGAAGAACTTTGACCTCTATATTTTCGATTGTAGGTACAATTACGAGTATAATGGGGGTCATATTTACTCTGCTGTGCCTTGCCCTTCTCTCTCACAAATTATTGAAATGTTTTTTGGAAAGAAGAAGGAAAACGTTATCATTGTATTCCACTGCGAATTCTCTCAGAAGAGAGCCCCCGAACTCTGGATGAAATTTAGAGATTTAGATCGATCTGTTAATAAGGAACATTACCCAGAGCTTTGGTACCCAGATATATATGTTCTTAATGGTGGGTATAGGCTTTTCAGAGAGATCTACCCTGTTTGTTCTATTCTATTATTAGATATTATAAAGTATAATAATAGAATATTATTATAATATTTATTTTATAAATTAACTAGTTAGGAGTGTTGTGGTGGATATGTCAAAATGGAAGACAGGCCACTTGGTTCTTCTCCGAACACGAAAGCAAAAATCAGCTACTGCAAACGGTCCACAGACAGAGAACACGGGTGGGATGATTCTCCTCTCCTCCCTCACAAACGTTAAATGTTTTTTTGTATTTTGAGCTATTAACATAGTTCTTAAAATGAAAGATTATAACACCAACTTGAATCATTAAAATCATTTGGAGTAAGTGGCTAGATCTTGATAATACTTCTCAAGTAAAATATCAAGATCTCCCTCTGGCAAAGCAGGACGTTGAACACCATCGTCATCAGTTATTTTCCCTTGAAGAACATCATTAAATTTCTGATCTAACATGGGGTTAATACCTTTGAAGGACTCAACTACTTTACACGACCAGACAAAGTATCCCTGAGCTATACAATATGGTTTACTATTGATTAATATATAATACAGGTCATATTGAGTATAGTAATTTTTATAATAAAAATATTATATATATGGTACAGAGAATACAAACAAAGCACAAGGAATGTCTGTGATGAGGTTGTTAAGGTTGTGTATCTTGTCAGCATACTTGACATACTTTGCACCAAGTGAACACGTTTTCGCATGTTCTACTTGGAGTTTTTTACGTGTGATTTTTGGGAGAGACTTATCATCAGTCACTTCTCGAACTATATCAGAAACTTCCTTTCCAAAAGTTGTTTCTATTTCTTCGAAAGTAGTGTGTGTGTCCTCCACAGTATCATGAAGAAGCGCTGCTTGAAGAGCTTTTATGTCTGTTATTCCACACTCGATCAAGATTTTACTAACGCCAATTGGGTGTACCAAATACGTCACACCATCTTTTCGACGCTGGTCTTGATGTTTCACTGTTGCGAAAAGTAAAGCGTCGATGTATTGTCCGAGTTGTAATTGGTTCATATGGCTTTTTAAGGTTAAATTGTTTTTCGACAATTTGTAAAAATGAGAACTATGAGGAATTAGAATTATTAGATAGAAGATTTGAGATCAAAAGAAACAACAATAAACACACAATTAAAGCTAAAGAAAAAGCGCATCGACTTATTATTAGATATATATAAAAAGAACGTGTGAGATTTATTTGTGTTTCTTTGTCATATGTTTGAGCCATTCAAGTCCATCTTTAAGACCATCCCCTTTAAATGCATCACACTCGATTAATGTCACCTTATCATTTAAAAGTGACTCAAGACCATCAACATGTCCTTTATTTGCCCAAATTAATACAGGAAAATGTAATCCCTTAGCATCGTTGACTAACTCTATTAAAGCAGTCTTCGCATCACTAAGTCGTTCCTTGTCAGTGGCATCAATGACAAAGGCAAAACATATGACATTACTGTAATAAGTTTTCCAGAGTCTTTGAAACTGTTGTTGCCCACAAACATCCCAAAATATCCATTTGATGTGTTTGACCCCTTTCACTTTGGCTTCAACTGAATTAAACCCACGCGTCGGCTTGGGAGGAAATATGGCAGGATCAAGCCCATTCAATTTGAGTGTTATTGCTGTCTTCCCAGCTCCATTCAGTCCACAAAGAAGAACATTAACATGTCGACTATGGAAAAAGAAACCCATCGTTTGAATTTGATGTTTGAAATCTTCATTTTTATATCGAGAATTGTAGAACTTCCAAGTGACGCTATTTTTAACTTATTTTATTAGTAAAAGTTCTATCGAATATGAAATTTGTTATTGTAAATTGCCATGCTGTTTTTTGTATTTTTGTTTATGAATTGTTTGTCATTTTTCAATATCTTTTACTTAATAATGAAGGAAAATAAAAAAAAAAATAGATTTTTTTATTTTTAAAAAATATCTTAAAATAACATTTTATTCTAATGACACGAAATTAACATTAAAAATTTATGATAAATATACTAAAAAATCGTTATAAAATTACATTAAATTATTAATAAAAAGAATGTCATTTTGTAGTTTGTTATAATTTATTTTACTTTTAATTATTATAATTATATTTTTTTTACCTTTTCATTTCTTCATTTGAGATTATTTTATTTGGAAAAGCCAGAAAAATTACATTTTAATACTGGATATTGTTGTTATATTTAACACTTAAGCTATTGTTTTCTAAAGTTATAAGTTATAAGTTATAACTTTAATTATTTAAAATAATACAATAGTTTATTTATAAAACAGAAACCAATTTGAATGATAATTAATTATTAAAATTAAAATCAATACATTTTATTATTAATTTTATAAAAAAGTTAAAAACACACAATTAAATACTGAACTTTAATCTTGTAAACTTATTTATAAAATATGTGATAATTTCGCTTTTGTACGGAACCTTCATCATTTAATGTAAATACCATCACGATGACAAACGTATTCTTTTTGTTTATCTAAATCTTATTATTATGTTCATTTGATGTTCGTTAAAACTAATTTCCAAGTTTCAATTACTATAATTTACTATTTTTTGGTTAAAATTTGTAATTTACAATATTTTAATAATAACATTGCTTATAACATAATATTAAAAAAATAAAACTTATTATCTAACTTAAATTGTTGTATTTTTTTTAATAGTTTATAAAGTGTTTAGTTATTATTATATTTATGATTAATTGTTTTATTTATTATTAAGATACTAAAAATAAAAACAAATTATTGAATGGATTAAATTTTGGGATATTATGAAACAAGAAAAACAATTCCTGATTCCACAAACAATTCTAATAAAAATTAATTAATACAAATAATTCAAGTAAACTATACGAAAAACGTTGAAAAGTATCGTTGAAAATTCGTTGTTATTTTAAAAATTATATTTTAACAATATAATAATTATTAAAAAACTATATTTCTTAATCGTTTTTGTGAGAGTAAAAAAGACTAAAAAAACTCAGATTTCAATTTATGTTACTCATATCTCTTCTACTCATTTTCTATGTTCGAAGTGCTCCAGAGAACTGTGTCGAGTACATATCAGAGAACCATTGTGTCCAATGTAGTGATGGGTATTACCTTCAAATGGTGGACAATCCAACCACAGGGATTCCCTCTCTTCTCTGTGTTCAAAAGGGAACAATTGCGAATTGTGATGCTGAAGACTCTGGTCAGTGTGTCCGATGTCAGTCTGGGTACTACTTAAAGAATAATCAATGTGTTGGTTGTACCACTGGGTGTAACTACTGCGATGAGAACCATTGCTTCCAGTGTGGGTCTGTAGATGGTGTTCAGTTATACCTTTCTACCGATGAAACGCAATGCGTCGATTGTAGTAAATCAATCAATGATGAAGCTTGTGGAAGATGTTCGTCTGGGACGTACTTCGATACCACCACAAAGTCTTGCGCAAAGTGTTTCGACAGTTGCGCGTTATGTACGGAAGCAACGAACTGTTTCCAGTGTTCTGAAAAGTTACTTGAAAAGCACGCGGGCACTGCAGCCGACCCAGACAAATGTGTTGACATAGTACATTGTTCGACTGGTAAGAATGATGATCACTGTGAGTCGTGTGATGCTGGCTATCGTCTTGAAGGTGGTAACTGTGTTCCATGCAATTCCAATTGCACGTTGTGTTATAAGAAAGATGACGGAAAGACACAGTGCACCAAATGTGATGAAGGTTTTGTTCTGAACAAAGGAGAGTGTCAAACGAAAGACTCATTAAATTGTGAAGTTGGGAGTGTCACTTATGGGTGTTTGCAGTGCAAGACTGGGTATTTCTTTGATAGCAATTTGGAGTGTGCAGAATGTTCTTCTGACTGTGGGTCGTGTGTTTCCGAAGCAAGTAATTGCTTGTCGTGTTCCAAAGACCATTACTTCAAGAGTGGGACAACCACGTGTACAATGAAAGATGGAAATTGTTCGTTAGTTGATCAAGCTGGATGTAAAGAATGTGCGAACGACTTGAGTGGTGAAGGGTTGAAAAAGACTGGATACTATGTTCCGCCTGGGAAACAAGAGTGCGAAGAATGTGAAAAGAATTGTAAGCTCTGTGAAGGTGATAAAACGCATTGTACGGCATGTGTCACCAATTATGTGTTAAAAAAGAATGGCGATCATTATGAATGTTACAACAAAAGTGAGACATGTATTGCCACTGGTTTGTTGTTTTCCGTGACTTATTGAAAAGAAATACTAACTGAATAGAAATGGGGTATTGCACTGAATGCGAGAAAGGATATTTCATCGAAGCTAATGAAAACCAAGACTGCATCAAATGTGATCCGTCATGCGGTACTTGTAAAGACAAAGACAACTGTTTGACATGCGCAAGAGACTATTACTTGCCTAAGAATATGTCGTCTGTTGAAATGAAAGGGTTCTGTCGCCCTCAAAGTGAAATTAATTCCGTGTGTCAAGCGAACGTGAACGGATGCGAGAAGTGCAAGGAAGGGTTCTACATCAATAGCAAAGACCCAACCCAATACAACTGTACAAAATGCACAGATGAGTGTAAAGATTGTGATTGGCTCTCAGAGGATGGGACTGATGTCACGAAAGGTCATGTCATTTGCACGTCATGTCCGACGGAATTTGGGTATGTCAATGACGAAGGCCATTGTGTGCCCTGTTCCGGGCTAAAGAATTGTGCGACGTGTGATAAAGACAAATGCGCGACATGCAATGACGGATACAAGATGGATCCTGGATCGAAGTCATGCTCGAAAACCAATTGGGCGTTAATTATTCCCCTTGTGATCTTGGGTGTTATCATAATTGTCATTATCTTGGTACTGCTCATAGCCTTTGTGTGGTGGAGAAGAACAAAAAGCGTCAAAGCGGAGACTGCAGCGATTAAACCGTTCCACGTCTCTTCTGATCTGGAGTTGATTCTCCTTGGCGCTGATAACGAAAAGTTCCCATTGAAGACGGAGAAGTGGGAGCTGACATTCAACCTTGCGAAGTCGAAGGCTGTTGTTGATCAAGAGTATACAGAAACGTTTAACTTGGCGAATATGTCAAAGAAAGAATATTACTTTGAGTTCCATTTCACGCCAAGTCACAAATACGACTTAGATATCACACCAAAAAGTGCGACACTGAAACCATCCACTGCTGTTCCCATAACTTTCAAAATTAAGATGTTGTGCACGGCTTCAGTGAGTGACAATATTGGTATCTCGGCGATGGATATTGATGATCAGAACAAAGAAACCGCGAAATTCACGATTGTGGTTGAATCCGACTTATCTCTTAAATTGGACCACACTGAATTAAAGCCAATGATGCCGCCAATTGGTGAAGGTGCATTTGGGATGGTATTCAGAGGGACGTACAGAGGTAGAGATGTCGCCATTAAGAAAATGAAAGCGAGAAATTTGACACAAGAACAAGAGAAGGAGTTCAATCACGAAGTTTCGATGATGACACAGTTGCGCCACAGCTGTGTTGTTGAGTTGATTGGAGCAGTCTACACGGAAGGAGAAATATCTATAGTCACTGAGTTTGCTGAATATGGATCTCTGAGTAAAGTGTGGGGAAAGCACCCAATTACGTACCAACTCAAAGTGAAGATATTGGACGATATGGCTGTTGCGTTAGCTTACTTGCATCAGAACACCATTATTCATCGTGATGTCAAAGGCGAGAATTTGTTGTTGTTTTCACTCAACCCCCGTTCGCCAGTCTGCGCGAAGTTAACAGACTTTGGGACGTGCAGAAACGTATCTGAGAGAAACTTGGCATCAAAGGCGTTATCACAAGGGATTGGAACGCCAACGTACATGCCGCCAGAGTGTTTGCAGAACTCTTCGGAGTACAGTTACCCCGTCGATGTGTATGCTTACGGTATGGTTTTGTATGAGACATACACCGAGAAGAACGCGTATGAAAATGATGAGCGATTCAATCAGCCGTGGATGATTCCACAGTTTGTCATTGAAGGTAACAGACTTGACAAACCCAGTGGTGTTCCAGAGAATTACTGGGACTTGACCACAAAGTGTTGGTCACAGAATCCAGAGGACAGACCGACATTTGCTGAGGTTCTCACAAAAATCGAAGGGTGGGGTGAAGACATCAAATATGCTCTGAAGAACGACGGTGACAAGCATGTGGAAGAGTCCGATGTCTCAAGTAGTTCCACTCCATCTTCCCAAAGCAAAGACATGAGTAAAGGACAAAGCAAGCAACATGAAAACGTCCCCACTGAAGCTGATGGAGTGGACAAGAGTATATCCTCGAAGAGTTCGAGTGATGATAAGCACTAATTGAATGAGCACTGCGTTTCTAATTCAATTGTTTGAGGAATTAGGTTTTCCACAATTTGTGGACAGTTGTGGTGTTGCAATAAAAAAAAGACCTTGAATCATAGAAAAATGGATTAAACGAAGGAGGCGTACTCTGACTCATCTTTTGGCTTGAAGAAGAACGACAAGACGACAGCGGACGCCATTGCAATGGTCTGGAACATAGAGCCGAAGAGATGTAAAAGGAATCCCGACCCGACTCCTCGTGAGAATTTACTTTGTTTTGCCTCGTCTTCGAATCCAGCACTCGCAGCAGCGCCGATTCCGATGAACGTTGCAATGTAAAAGAAGAACGAAACGGCGAAGAACGCGATGTAGACGTAAAGGGAGAATTTGAACATTTTGTCGGCTTGTTTTAAGACAAAAGCTTTCTGTCTGATGTCCAAGAAAGTGTATCCGATAGTTCCTAAGAGATAGATAAATTGAATGCACACAAAGCCACAAATGCATTGAAGACTTGCAGACGCATAGTTGTAATTCTTGTCCGCCGTTTCTTGGAAGTACACCGATGACCCGACATATCGAATAAAAGTCTCCATCGTGTATGTTCCCATATCATTCTGAATCCCGTAATAAGTCAACCCACCGACGTGGCGGATGCGTAATGAATCCGCCACGTCATATGTGTTTGTGGTCCACTCGTTGAACAACGACGACCCCACCAATATTGCCGCCAAAATCGACAAAGAGAGTGGGACATATTTCACGTATAATGAACAGTCCATCTTATGATTTTTGAGTTCGTCACATGCAAATTTTGAAGAACTGAAAAGTTGTCAGCTGAAGAGGTTTCTTTTTTTTCTTTCAAAAATGTTTTTTTAATGGCGGTTTATTACTATAATATATAGTTTATTGAACTAGTAAACAGTTAGAGTATTAATAACATTTTTTGGTAAAAAAACAAACTGTTATTCGAATTTATATGAAAAATCGACGATGCGAGAAAGTAAAATGCTCAATCAAAAATTACAATTACAGAAAGACGCAACCGTCTTGCGTGTTGGGTTGGAAGATTTGTTCATCGGTTGGTGTGTCAACCCTTCCGTCCTTGAATTTATATTCGACATTCTCTTCCTCGCCAATATCGTCTTGATATGTTTCGAGTAGGGATTCGTCGTCAAGCCACTTTTTAGCAGTTGGGAGGTAAAGTCCAATTCCGTCTTCGGGTAACATGTGGAGTTGACCTGCTATGAATTGAACGGAATCTTTTACGGACATGTCGCCGTCGACACGAAGAGTCTTGTATATGATTGGAAATGAGATTGGAAATTTAATGCGCATAGTAACGACTCGGCTCATCAGTTGCAATGGAATGTATTTGATAATTTCCAGTTTGTCTGTTATTTTGAGTATTTTTTGTTTTTGGTTTAATTTCTATATTCCCGGTTTTGTTCCAACTTTTGAAGGTAGATTGACAAGTAATGATTTGTGTTTTTGTGATTTGAAAATAGTCTTATTTTGGATTATTAGCAAAAAAAAGTAAAAAAAAGAATTGGGTGGCTATTTATTTTCTGAATTAGTGGAAATAAAAGAATTGTTTTGTTTAATAATTTGTAATATATTTTTTTATTTTTTTTTGTTCTGTAATATAACTTATTATAAATTTTTAATAAAAATTATAAAATAAAAATTTAATTAAATATAAAATATAATAATATTAATAAAACACATAAATATAAAAACATTCATAATGTTATGTAAAAATATGTTTTTTATCGGTTAATTATATTTAATTATCAGTAAATACTAATATATAATAATACCTTGTATTATAAAAAACAACAACACATTAATTATTCCGTTAAAACCCGAAAAAATGTTTTTTTTCTGAACTTGGCCTTATGTAAAAAAAGTCAATCTTGAAATATGTTGGAATAAACTTTATTGGTCTTTGAACTTAAAATTTCAACCCGATGGAATCATTAAAATCTCCATACTCTGTGGGACTTTTTCCAACGCTTTACCAACGTCGAATCTTTCCAACTTCGAAACCTCAACAAAATGGTGATATAATCACGCCACTTCACGTTTCGGTTTTTTTAAATCACCCCGAATTTATAGAAAGTTTAATAAATGATTATAGTATCAATGTTAATTCCCAAGACTCGTTTGGCAACACACCACTCATTTTAGCAGCTCAAGTTGGTAACATGGAAACGACAAAAATCTTGATGTCACACACACCATCAAATTCGCTGACAAATCAATATGGACAAACGCCCATTCTCGTAGCTCTTCGATTCAATCATCCGGAGATTGCGCTTGAGATTGTCAAATCAATAAAAAATGCATTTCAAATCTTGAATACTCCAGACAACTGTGGGTACACCGTATTACACTACGCAGCTTTCTGTAACGACGAGAAAGTTCTTTCCGCGATCGAACAAATTTGTTTTGTTGATGACATCATTGAGAATTCCATCAACCCGACATGCTCGACTCCGCTCCATATCGCTGCTCTGAATGGTTCGTACGTGACTTTAAAATGGTTACTCACCAAAGGCGCCAATCCAAATGCGGAGAATTGTATGGGGCAGAGTCCATTGTTGCTTGCTATCAAACACAAACACATTGAATGTATCAATTTGTTAATAGAAAAGACTCTCTTAAACGTGCCAGATAATTACGGACAATTGGCACTTCACTATGCTGCTGCTGTCGGATGTCCCGTTGATATTATACAGAAACTCTGTGACAAGTACCCCGATGCTTTGAATAAAATGGACGCAAATGGAAACTACCCTTTCCACCATGCAGTGAAGTCTAACACCCTCGTACTCCTCCAATTCTTCTTTAAAGATGGGAAGTTACTTAAAAAGAGAAACTCGAATGGGCTCACCCCTATTATGTTGGCTGTCGCTTGTGGGGCTACGACTTCATTTGCATTCTTAATAAGACTCGGAGATGATACATACGGAAGATCACTCAGTGGGACGTCTGTGTTCATGTTGGCGTGCGCTTACAATCAACTGGAAATAGCAAGGGCTCTCTTCCAAGAAGACCCTTCTGTCATTTCAGATGTCGACAATAACGGAAATACAGCAGCTCATTATGCTGTGCAGAACAATCGTGTTGAAGTCCTCAAGTGGATCAAAAGCATTGCTTGCGAAATTGTGAAAAAGCCAAATGTCGTAGGAGAGACACCACTCCACATCGCGTGTTTGTGTGGGTACCAACAAATCACCGAAATATTGTTGGTCTTTGGGTTGACTATGACAGATACGACGACGATGGGAAGGACTCCCTTCCATTATTGTGTCCTCGGAGGCCATTTGCAATTGGTCAAGTTGTTACGACGCAACGCGGAGACCGGGTGCTTTGTAGGAGATAAGAACAAACTGACACCGTTACACTACTGTTGCTTGTATGGGATGGTTCATCTGATGGACGATTTACTCTCTGCGTGTCCTGTTCTTTTAAATAGTCGAGACGGCTGCGGAAGGACACCACTTCATGTTGCTGTTGTTATGAATGATGCATTGAGTGTTAAAAAGTTGTTAGAACATGGTGCTGATACGACACAGATTGACATTCGAAAGATGTCTGCACTTCAGTCGTCGATCAACCGAGGATACATTCATTGTTATGAGCTAATAGCGAAAAAGGAGAGTTACACGACAATCAAAAAAGTGAAAATGGTCAACGACTTTTTGCGGGACGAGGATTACTTCCTCCGAGTAAAAAAAGACGACATTGTCAATGTTTTTTGGGAGCATAAAAAGGGGTGGGCGTTAGGTATGGCTCGTGGGAAATATGGGATCTTTCCGATAACGAGGAGTATTGTAGTTTCACTTGAAAAAGATGAGCTCGACAAAATAGCGGAGATATTGATCAACAAAAAGATGGTGGAAAAAGGAGTTGATAAGAAGAATAGGTCGGCATCTGTGGCGACAAAAGAACCGGAGAAAAAGAAGTTTAAAGCATACAGCCCAGTCGAACCGACAGAAATACTTGCGAATAAACAAATGCAAGAAGTCAAAAAGAAACAGAAGACAATATCTAAGTCTAAGACTCCTAAGGAATTTTAACATCAATTTATCTTTTGTTATCAATGCTTTGTTGTTGAATGGATGTGACGAATTGGGATGAAATAAAGCAAATTAATTTAAACGACGGATACATTGAGCATATGCCTTTTGTGGAGATGAGTCCCGACCATTCACTGATTTACCATTGACTTTTACGTTCGCTAGATACTCTTTCATATACCCTGCCATATATTCTGTCGCACTATATGTATAGGTCACACCATTAACTGTTGCTACACCACTTAGGCCACTAAAGTGCGAAGCTATAGTCGCAGCTTCATCTTGAGGACTATTCGTAAAGTGTGGATGTCCGATCATGTTGATTGAAATGGTTTGTTCGTTTGTTTTTATTTGACTTTCACAAAAGTCTCTTCAAATCGGGAATATATACTTCAACATTTCTTAGTTCTTATTAACTAAAAATGAAAGATTTATTCTAATTATAAGTGAGACTTAAAAATATTTTTTTAATAAGAATAAACTAATTAAAATATATGTTTAGATTGGGTCAGGCTTATTCCACCACCACCTCTAAAAATAGACTATTTTTACTATTTGATATAATATTCAAATTAAAATTATAGTAAATAGGAAACTGGGAAGATATTAGGTCTGGTTCCCGAATTCAAGAAATGCCGAAAATTCACCTTGATTTAGTGGAAACCGAGTGAGACGGAGCATTGAAAAGAAGGCTCTGAAGACACACTCAAACAGTCTGTTTGTGCACCGTTTCACCCACTTTCCAAGTCCTCCCTTGGCGCGGAACCCCCCTGACCCCCCCCGCAAGCGGGGGGGGGGGAACCACATCCGCGTCCACACAGTACGGACAAGGAAAGTGGGTGACATGGGGACGCACAAACAGTGGCTGAAAAATGGACTTCCTTCAAAAAACACTCGCGGCAAATATTTTTTTTGGTAAAGGTGGTGGTGGAAAAAGCCGGTCCCGTTTAGATTTTGAAGTTAATTTTTTCATAACTTATTATTAAGTTATTATTGTTTTAATTGATAATTATATTTTAACTTTAGAAAAAATCTAACAATTAATTAATTTTTTTTCTATTCCAAAAGTAAAAACAATTATTTTTTTTTCATTTTGATAAAAAGTGTAGTTTTAAAAACAATTTTTAATAGTAAAAATATTAATAGAATGATAAACACAGTTTGAAAGTATTTTTTGTAAAAAAATAACATTTTTTTAAAAGTTACACTGAAAAGTAATTTGCCAAATATTCAGTACAAAAAAGTATTAAATACCAAATTATCTAATATACTTAAAAAACCTAAAAATAAAGGATAACACAAAACAATTTTTCTTCCGTTTCCTTTCATTAATTTCTTTTAGTTAATATTAGCTAACACAATACAAAAATAGATGGCAATTCTTATACTGTCTCAATGCACAACATTTTTTGTGTTTTTATATGATGAAAAACAACTTTTTTATTGTTTTATCCCAATTCGAATAGAATCTTCAAAAGCTTAATGGATCAATTATTGGAGGATTTACGTGTTTGTTTTGTTGCCTCTAACTTTGTTTGTGTGATAAAACGTTGACAGACAGCAGTGTAAAGACCCTCAGTCAATTGTGGACTTCCCCGAATTAAAACCGGAGTACTTAGAACAACTCTCCACTTTTCAACCAAAAGGTGATGTGGTGAACTGTGTTATCTCCACTTTGAATCAGAATAAGTCCTCCCTTCATTATTCAAATTTGCGAGAAGACCGTATTACTCAACCAGGTCTGACTGTCCAAACGAAGTCGAATTATCCATTCACCGAAATTGGCAGTAAAGACAAAGTTGGGCAACCTACTGCCGATGCCTATTGTGTATGGCGTTGTGCAAATTTCATGGTGTTCTGCGTGTGTGATGGGTGCGGTTTGCTTCTTAGATAACACAATTTTCAACGTTACAAGTGTATAGACATGATAAGTATAACAAATAGGATGGGGTCAAGACTCAAGTTACGTGGCGCGAGTTGCCAGTGCGGTCTTTGTCAGTTACATGCAAAAATATATTCAAGAGAATGAAAACGCGATGACCACAAAGTCGATGATCGAGCACGTCAAAAAAGCTGTAGCAATTGCGCACCAAATTGGGTCAACAACGTACTTCATTCAAGGCAAAAACATAGGGAGTTGCACATTATGTGGTGGTGTTGTAGTTCCACTCGTCCCCGAAGAAGAGTTAAAAGGCCTTCAAGTGAATGAGAGTGACATGGTAGACTCAAAGAGTGCTTTAAGACACCGTGTCGATGAATACAAACATACAACCAAGACTGACAAAATGACAGAGAAGTATCAATACATAGGGGTGAGTGTAGGAGACTGTAAAGCGTATTTTGTCGATCGTAGTCTTCCCAAGCATAATTGTGTTGATTTAACATATGGAAGTCGTTTGAAATCAAAAATTGGGAATGACCCGGGAGGACGTATAGGGAAGACCAAAGAAGAGTTAACAAAGATGGACTTACGCAATGGGATCTACTTTGCTCAGATGATGCATTGGAACGATTATTTAATCGTCTGTTCCGATGGTATTCACGACAACTTAGAGCCAAAAACTCGAGGAATGAGTGTCGAAGAAGTTTTACCCACCAAAAAGGGAGTGAAATGGAACGCATTGACTTCCGAAGACGTCGAACTGATTAACAAAAATTATAGGTTTGTTATTAATAGTTATATAGTTCATGCATGCAACAAGAAAATAACTCCATAGTCTCGCGTTTCTCGAGGAAATGGAATCGCACGCCGTTAGTGTCCACCAGTTCCATCAAATCATTATGGACTCTGTCGAAGGAGTCGTTAAAGATATTAGAGACTTCTCGGAAAAGTACCCCCTCGAAGCTATTCCTTCTCAATTCTCCGGTAAACTCGACCACGCCACTTTACTTGTTGCTCGTCCCGCGATGTGATCTAATTGATTTTTTGAACCATTTGTGAACCATTTTTATTTTATAGAAAACTTTTAATTGCAAATGGAAAAGTTAACATCGTTAGACCACGATATCCACATGGACATCGAAAAAATCATTCACGAGACAGAACAACCAAAACGTGACCCAAAAACAATCAAACCAAACGAAAAAACAGTCGTCTGTTCACATTGGCTCCGTGGCTCATGCAAACTTGGTAACAACTGTGGGTACCTTCATGAGTACGACTTGGACAAAACCCCAATGTGCAACCATTTCGAGAAATACGGAAAATGTGATAAGCCGGAGTGCCCTTTCCGTCATGAAGCTCCAAGTAACAGTCCAAAGTGTGAGTGGTACATCAGAGGGTTTTGTTCCCGTGGGAAGAAGTGTCACAACTTACATCCAAAGAAGTTGTTATGTCCTTTATATTTCATGGGATTTTGTCCATATGGAAAGCAATGCAAATACTCACACCCATCCCCGGCTCCTATGAGAGATAATGATCGCCCAAAAATGCCAAATAAAGAACAACAACAACAGTGAATTGTACTTCTTTTCTTTTTATCAGTTATGCCCGTTATAATACTATAATTATAATAAAATTATAATAAAACTATGGTTCTAATTACGAGAAGAAGAAATCTGCAGGATGGTCGGGATCTGTAAGCCCTTCTTTGTCTTTAGCAACGTCGACTTGAGCAACTTCTACCTTGTCGTCTTCTTTCACAACGTCTTCAGTTGTTTCCACCACCTCTTTTTGACTCGCAGCTTTTTCAATTTTCATTTCTTTATCCTTTTCAAGTGGTTTCTCATCTTGTGAAACTTCTTTTGGAACGTCTTGTTTACCTTCCTCTTTAACAGTCTTTTTGCCACTCTTTTTAGACCAAGCAGAAATTTTTGAGGCAAAGTCGTTAAATGCTACAGTTGATCCGATGGTGAAGTCATTATTAAAGAAGGACTTCAAGTTCTCTTCAACGGACGTGGAAATGCCTTCTTCAAATGAGGGGTGTACCCTTTCAAATGACTTCCCTTCCATTCCAACATTCGTCATCTTTTCTCTCCAGTTATGGAAACAATTCGTCTGTAAGAAAGCTCGTACAAAGGCCTCGCCAAAGTCGACAAACACTTCTTCTAATGCACTCGTAAATCTGAATGGCTTCTTTGTGAAGAGTTCCTTGTTTCTGGCAAGTCCATGCAACAACGCCATAATGTAATTCACTAACTCTCTGAAAACCCAGTTGTCCGTTCCTTTCTCAACGTTTGTTGTCGACATGGCGTTCACTCTGATCTCCTTTTTGACATTGAAAATAAAGACCTTGTCAGTTTTAGTCAAAGAGCAATCCATTTCGACGTTCTTGTCGCGATACAAAATTTTACCAGTGGAGACATCAACAACGGCGTCATAATCCGGTGACTTCTGTAATACAACATTGGTGGAGACAGCAGCAATAACGCCGTTGCCATTTCCAATTCTATCGAAATTGTTAATCGAGAGGTGTAAGTACACTTCTCTCTCTTCAGTATTCAACGAAAGTGGTAATTGTAGTAAGTCCACCTCTTTCAAATTGGGTTTTGTGAAGAAGACACCGGGTACCAGTGACAACAAAAATAAGACCGTTTCACTAGCCAACAGTGCTTGTTCGCGTGAAGCGACGACCAACACTCTCTTCTCGAGTAAAAAGAGTTTGAGCAAGCATAGTACGTTGGTGTCGAGTCTGTTAACAAGGGCGGTTGCTGTTGGTGCCGATGTATATATTGGTGAGAAAGCGTAATTAGCCACAGTCAGCATATGGCCGATCAATGTCACGTTGATCTCTTCCACTTGCGTGATATAAGCATTAGCCAAAGGTAATAATATGTGTACGATCTGATGGAGATATGGTACAGTAACAAAGGCAACGATGGCATATTTCTTATACTTCCATTCCTTCCTCCCATTGAAGACCACCGAAACTCCAAAAGTCTTTCCGTTGTTAAAGTAAACGTAGTCGGGCAGTTTAGTTTCTTGGTCTGGAAAAGCGGTTGTCATCATGAAAGTCTCATCAGTCGTATTTAACTCTCCGGTAGTGTGGAGGAGGACTGGGGTATTCTCTCCGTTCTTTCCCAAAAGAACTAAATGGGTGATAGCGTCTTGTGTTTGTGTCATTTGTTTGTTTTTGCTAGTTCTTCAGTTAATCTTTTTAGTCATTTTTTGACGTTTCTGTTCCTCTTTTGATTTCTCATAAATAACATTTTCGTTTTTCTTTTTTTTAAATGTTTTTTAAATGTTGTTGTTGCCAAGTAAATATGTATTATAATTAAAATATTTATACTAGTATTACTATTTATGTATTATTAAAAACAATAAAATAAACAAGAATAAGAACAGTACTAAATAATATAGTTTCAATTAATAATTAATAATTCAAAAGTAGAATGATGTTAAACTAACAAACATACTATGGAAAGTGATTTCAATGAAATAACCGATGAGCAATTAAAGGAATCTGTCGAGAGAATGAAGACGTATGAGGAACTTTTAAAAGCAGCAACTTCACGCCAAAAATACAAACAACTTCCCGAATATTCAATTTTAGAGGAACTTTTGACCATCGAGGCGGCGGAAAAGATCGAAGATGTCGAATTAGTCTTTGTCGTTGAGTCGAACAAAGAAAAGCGAGTGAACGAAATCATAGCGAAAATGAACTCCCTGCAACGTCGATTTCCGTTAATCCGACTTGGCCTCTTACACTTTTATACAGACAAAGGGACTCTCTGTTATTCCCAATGCAAATTCTTTGCTCCAACTTCATCGATATCGGAGTTAGTCAACTTAAGTTGGTCATACACTGATTACAAAGCCGTCACAGTGAACTTCGACGATCTAATCACAAACATTTCATACATCGATTGGCAACGCAAGTTGAAGAACGTCTTTGTGATCTTGAATCAAGGCATAGTCACAAAAAATCCAATTAAGCCACAACTTGAATTCTTCAACCACGTCTTTGTGACGTCCACCGCACTGTATAATGGAAGTGAACAACAGTCTTTAGATCAATTAGTTCTTTTGAGTAAGAAGTGTTCACACATTTTTTACAGTCGAGTCAATTTGTTCTCCCCGTTCATTACCAATGGTATTTGGTTCAATCAATTACTCCCAATAGAATTGAATGCACTCACAATGGAAGATAAAATCGCCGCGTTAAGACAACTCGAGCAGAACCCAAACTTCGACGATGTCCAGAGACTCAAGGGCGTCGTTGTGACAGTACCAACTAACTACACCAGTGGAGATTCGTGTTTGTATACATTTGGCGTCAGTCCGACTTTATCAACAAAGCAAAGTGTGATAGAAATAAACCCTCAGATCGAGCACCACGGAGCTTTCAAAGTCATGATGAAAGGGATTATAGATGGCGAGAATGTCGCAGTGAAGTACGATCATGACCTTGTTAATAATACTTTTGATAATTACGTTGGCATCTTAGAGGGTTATTCCGTCACACAGAAGCTTTTAGATGAGTTCAACACGATGAATGAACGTCAGGTGAAATGTGTCGATTGTAAACTCTTCATCGCAGACATTACTTTGCCAGATGGGATCTATCCAGTCTCACATTTACGACACTTAGCTGAAGGAAAGATGCTCTTTCTAGTCGAGACACTCCTCACAGACTCGTTTATTAAGTGGAATTCAAACAATGGAGACGTCAACTTCACGAACTATTCTGCAACATTAAATTGCTTCAGTCATTATTCCTTCATTCGTTCCGCTAAACGGTTACTAGTTGCTGATATCCAAGGGTGTCTCCACAACGATGTGTACTTAATCACAGACATGGCAATTCATCATGAAATGCTCTGTCGATTTGGTGCGAGTGGCGATAATAGTAGAGGCGTTGGGATGGTCCACTTCTTAAAGACGCATGTCTGCAACCAAAGTTGTATAAAATTGGGTCTCGACAAGGTTTTCATCTGTGATAAAGACGAAGAAATGGTGACACAGGCGGTATTGCCTGTTATAACCGTGAAGTAACTGAGTTGGTGTTTCATTTATAACAACTATCATTTAATAATTAAAAAACTAATTATCATAGTTTTAATAATACTTGAGAACATTCATATTATACAATAATTGCTTTTGCTTGAAGCTTTTTCGACAATGAGGGTGAGTGAATTTGTTATTACTCACCCTCATTAATTATTATTTTATAATATTAGAAACCACTAAGTATAGTTTTAACTATTATTAGTTTTTTGTAATGGTTTCTTATTATTTAATGAACCATGTAAAGGGTTTCTATATTAAGGATGCAACGCCAGAATGGCATTATTTAAGTGCCGAACTTGAAAAAATAATCCAGCGCTTTAAACTTTACAGGTGCACATATGTACAACTGATATACAAGGCGCTAGAAATCAATTTCGGTCAGCAACTGCGTTATTCGCAGCATGTTAATTGGAAATTAACATTTATTAGACTCTATATAAGTCACTCTTGTTCTATTTATATACATTTTAAAACCATAATTGAATAATTACTTATAATCTATTTAACTATTTTAATATAGTTTGATATAGTTAAATATTGTACTATATAATAGTAAAGAATAGTTATATTCTCTTCTATTTTAAAAGACCAATTAAAAAGAACTTATTTATTACTAATGCCTCTCATACAAATAGAGCATTTAGTAAACAACGGGATCATCAATGTCGTCTCTTCTTTCTCACCAGACCAAACATTTTTTGGGACCAAAATGGATGAAGCTGATAACAAAGAGTTATATGAAAAACATCACCATGTGGATACCGTCGAAGTCAAAAAAGAAGGGAACACATTGCCGGAAAGAAGACGAGACAAAGAGAAGTGCGAAATTGACAAGAAGAGTGAGGCGGACATTTTAGAGATGATAAAAAAGACGGTGATAGGGGATGAGAATATCGACGGTGTCACCACAGAAGTGTCGACCCTCAAAAAGCGCATCGAAGAGTTTAACAACAACGTTGCGATATACGACGACATGTTGCGCGAAGAGGAATTGAGTCGTGTGTGTGGTGAAGGTATTGAGAATGGGTGGGTGACGTCCTTAGAGAAGTGGACTGGATGTGATTCGTGTCGTGTCATCTACGACTCAACGAATGGGTTTACTGCTGACACGTTATGGGGTGCTTTACGGTTAGCCAATTCCGTTGCTCTCATTGTAGAAACGACTGAGAATGATGTCTTTGGGTCATTTCATGGAGTCATTCCGATGCACCAACATTTCAATGTGAGTGTCGACTCGTCGCATTTCCTCTTCACCTTTTCAAACAAATTCAACACGGGCCACGTCAAGTTTCCCGTCTTACCGACAAACACGAAGATGTTAGATGTCTTTAAAGGATATAATTCGTGGGTGTATGGCATCGAAAAAGGATTTTGGATCCACGCACAACACAATAAGAGTTACGTCTGTTCGACTTCTGCGAATGGACCATTGACGGATGGGTATGAAGACCCGACATTAATGGGAGGAGTGGTATTTACAGGGTCGGTCTATCCTCAACGGTTTACAACAAAGAGAATAATTGGGCTTGAGATGATACTTGAGCAAGAATAGAGGCGACATGAATGATTCGATTTGATGTGTTACTATAAATTATTAAATTTTTTGTTGTTGTTCTCCTTATGCAAAATGAAAGAACTTGTTAATGGAACGGAAAAATAAAGAATCATGGAAGAGATCCAGGAGGCACTTAAGAGCATCAAGCAAATCAAAAACAGTCTCACGGAAGACACCGTCATTTTCAATTTGACAAAATCGATATACACTGTTTTAGACAAGATCGTCACACGCGTCTTTCAAGAACATTTCCCTTCTCTCCCAACGGCGCAGAGTCTTCAAGAGTGTAAAGAGCACAAACACATTTTAAATATCGAAAATGTTTATGAACAAAAGGACAAAGAAATAATGAGCGAGTTGTTCTATTTGGAAGAGTGGACCGGCCAACACGAGTTTCGTATTATGTATGACACAGACATCCATCCGTATACCAAAAACACTCTCATCGAAACATTAAACGGTAAACGGAATTTGACTCTTCTCTTCCAAACAAAAAATTCCGACTTGTTTGGATGTTACTTAGAAGCTCCAGTGAATATCAATGAGTATGGCTATAGCGAGGATTTCGACATTTTCATTTTCTCATTAAAAAGCCCTTATTTGCTCAAGCCAACTAAATACACTAAACTCCGCTCATTCGCAGACCTTTGTCACTTCTCGTTGTATTTCTCAGATAACGAGGAGGACGTTCTAGAAGTCGATGGCGCGTTCACTCTACGATTCCCTCTTTTAGATGAAGTCTGCGAAATTTCAACCGAAATATCACTCTCGTTCAAAAATGCAAGTGTAAAAGACTTCATCGGAGGGTATAACACTTTCGCTCTCAAACGGTTACTTGTCTTGGAATCCTATTAAGCATTACAATTGTCCCAGAGCAAGACAAATTCTATACGCTATAGTTCTTTTATTACATAAAAAATCATACCGAGACCATCACTTTTATGTCTCGAAATTATAACTGTTCTATTGTTCTTATTACTTATGGTTTGATGGGTGGAATTATATTTTCTAATAAAACAAACTAAAAACAAAACAAAGATATACAAATTAATACCATCTAACTGCAACGACACGGTGAATATCGAAGGTGGATTCGTTGGTAAAGTAGTAAAAGCCCTTACCGGAGTCGTCAGTGAATTGCTTTTTGAATTGAGTGTGGAAAAAGGACTTAGAACCTACAGGTCCCGACGGGTTCTTGATTTTCATGAACCGTTTTGTAGTGATGGAATAAGTCTCCTCCAGGTTTGGCCAGATACATAGAGATTTTCCATGGTGTTTTGGTTTGAATTTTTTTGGTTCCGGACTGTTAGGGCTTCTCAATGAGAATGCGAAATACTTCTTGTCGAATTTGATGTATTTGTATGACTTCCCCGCTTTAGGTATTTTCTATCTATAAATTTGTTTAACTATATTTTATAATAAAAGAATTAGAAATGTATAGTATATGTATATTACAAACTTTATGATTGTAGCAGCCGAAGGAATAGCCTTCGGACGAAATCACTACTATCATTACATCAGTTAACCCACAGATGTTCGAGTTAATATCACGGGCCATCTTCCCGTCTTCATCGCTGTCATATACGATATCGTAATAATTAAGACCAACCCAAGAGGATAAAGTATTGTAGAAAGTTGTTAACGTGAGCAAGACGTCCAAGTTTCTTAAACGCACTTCACTCTTTGAAAAGTCGTTCAGGCGACTTTGTGAAGGGACAGCACCACCACGTTGTGGAGAATAAAAGAACCCACTTTGCTCTCGACGGGCTTCGTTAATGCGTGTTAACTCATTTTGCTTCTTCTTAATATCCTCGAGCCTGTCGCGCTCTGTTTTGTCGATGAAGTCTTCATCATAAGATACGATTTGTGCGGAGTCAATGCGATTAATGATGTAATCCAAAGTGAATTGTGGACTACACCCGATATTGTTCAGGTCAGTCGTGGATGACGACACACTTGTCGAGTCGGCTTTATCCATCGTATCGTATTCTAATCAACACAGTTCTTCTTTATATTTGATTTTACTATAGTTAAAGTATTATATTTGAATAGTATAGGGTTATAGAAGTCAAAAAATCAAATTGATCGGCATATCCTTGAAAATAAACTGGTTTTTGAAATTGCATGGAAAATGTGAATGTAGTGGAAAACAAAATAACAGTAAAAAAGAATTGCCGCTTGAACCGCAAAAAAAGAATTGGAGAATTTTTTGTTTTCGGCGAAAAGATAAGTTCAATTGGGAATTTGAGAACAAAAACAATCGACTATTTTGAGTCGCTTAAAAGTTCTTCGGAATCTGAAGTTCATTTTCAATACTTCCCTTATTGAAAAACAAATCAGTGTGTAAGACGATGTTCCCGGTTTTCAGGATAATTTTAAACTGTCAGTAAAGTTTTTTTTTAATTATTACGTGAAATACTTTGGACGCAAATTATTGGGAGGTGTATATATATTATATATTATTATTATAATATTCCATACAGAAATATTACATATTTCGGTATGGAATATTATACGAAACTTAATAAATAAATTTAATTAAAAAAAACTAATTATATAGTTGTATAATTTGAATCAAAAGTCCAAAAACAGTATTATTATCTAACCATTATAATGGTTTCTATCAATTATAATTCAATTAATAAAAATAACATAAAAAATAGTAATCAATTTGATTTTTTCTGTAGCAATTTTCATTAATGGTGAAATAATAGAACAAAAAATAACAACGAGTCAAAAATCAACTTTATTATAACATTTTCTATAATAGATAATTTATTTGTTATATATTATTTAATAAAAAGATCTAAAGAGATAAAAAAAAACATTAAAAAAAGAAAAAAATAATCAATTGCAAATTACTAAAAATGCCGTCGAGTAAGAATAATTTGTCAAAAAAAAATGAAGTATAAATTATTAACAAATAATAATTTATATTTCATTTTTTAAAAGAAAAAAAAATTCGACGAACTAAAAATAACCTATTTTTAGTAAAATAATTTATAGTTTTATTATAAAAAGAAGCAACTATAATAATTAAAATTATTTATTAACTTCCTTTGACTTTCCAAAAAATTCCTTTTTAGATTTAATTGAAACTAATAATTATAATAAAATAAATTAGAACGAATAGTAATAACACCATACACAATTACTCCATTTGAATGACAACAATTCTCATTACTTTAAAATGATTTTCCGTCTTGTCGAACTCGCACTCTCCGCACTCAAAAGTTTCTCCCAAGCTTTCAATTTTGCTATTCAAGCCAGTCTTAGCGACGGTAATATTTCCGTAGTAATCCCCAAATTGGAACAAATTATTTCCGTTAATCCAGACATAGAGTCCGCAGTCCAACTTGAACTCTTCATTCTTCAAATTGAACTTTTTCATCGATTTCTGTGTAATTTTGAAAATGAAAGAGTTTGGGTCTTTCACTCGTTCTCCATGTTCCGTCACGTTTTTGGAACAATACCCGCCATATACCGGCCCTTTCTGTGTCCCAACAAAGAAGTACAAATTCTTTTTGCCGTAAATCTTCGAGAAGAATTCCTTATTGGATTGCCCACCAAAAGTATTTGTGTCATAGATAACACTATACCCTTTCTTCATCGAACTCCACTCTTCTAATGTTTTCAGACGCTTATCTATAAAAGAAAACCCACTCTCTATAAACGTGTCTTTGGGGATATTCTGTAAGACTACACGTGGCTGGGAGACACTGTAATCCCTCAATGAAAATAAGTCATTGTTCGAGTCAATTCGAAGTAATGGATCAATTTTACGTGAGTTACCTATTATAACCTTTTCAATTAGACAAGATATCTGCGTTAAAGCCTTTCTAGTGACTAAGTCTGTGACGTTCTTAATCGTTAATTGAAGTTCTTCAATCACGTCCATTGTATGTGTGTCGACTTACAAGTTGAGCTTTTATCGCTGTTTCAATCCAAAAGTAGAGTGTTCTATTTCCTTTGCGATTTTTCTTAAGAATCAATTTACAAATAAAATGGTTGTTTTTATTATAATTTATACTATTCGATCGACGAAAAAGAAGAGAATTTTCCTGATCTTTTTTTTTGTTCTTTTTCCAAAAAAAAATCAAAAAACCCGTTTTTTCTGTCGTAAACCGATATCTTCCCTTTATTTAAAGATTAACTTGAACGAATTATCGTTTTAATTGAACAGTTTTAAAAATCAAAGGTCTTAATAAAATAATATCTAGAGTTCTCTAATTTTATTTCTATTATTTTAACTATAAATCTTGGTTTCAAAATACTATTTGACTAATAATTGTCTGACAATAATTATAAAATAAAAGAAAAAATAACAAAACTGTTAAAAACTGTTAATGTGTTTCATATATATAGATATTCGTTTAAATACTATAATTATATTATATATTTCGTATTGTTTACAATGAATTATAATTTTGGTAATCATTAGCGATAATTGTTATATTAAAAGAGTATATAAAAACATTGGAAGTTGTGATTCAATATTATACAGTCAATATTCGATATAAGGATTTATTCGATATAAGGGAGAAAAATAAGAGGAAGCCCTTATATCGAATAATAGAAAAAAAAATAAAAAAAAAGAAATTTATGTGTTTGCTTTTTGTTGGTTATTTCAATTTAAAACCCCCAAAATGGTAATAATTGGATTAATTTGTCACTAAGTTAAAAAGTCAATTAAATTAAATTAATATAAAAACTATGTTTTATTATATTTTTAATTGAACATTTTTAATTAAAATAAACAAAATACAATAATTATAATAAAAATAGATAAACAAGTAAATTATATTTTGAAATAATACAATGAATGTATTTGCATTCTTTTAAAAAGTATACTTTTCTTGACAACATATAATAATCAATTGGTATTCCCGCTTTACGAACTTAATGTAACCAATTGATCATTGCTTCCTCAAGTTCCAGGTTTTGTAGTTTCTTATTCATTTATACGAGGATAAAAAAATATCAATGTTTCTTTAGAAATTGAACGCAAATGATAAACTTGCTTTGGAGAAATTACTATTTTCAGTTGTTGTCCGACAACTTTGATTACTTTTTGTGAATTTTGATAAGGATCAATGAATTCAATAATTTTTATTTTGTCTCGTAACATCAATGATATTCTTATATTAACACATTTAGATTGCATTAAAACTTAATGATTTAACAGATTTATTTGAAGTTTTTAAGTCAAAACAAAATTAGATACAAAAGTTTTATTTATTATGTTAATTGTGTTAATATATTCGTCTTTGTTTTTTGATTTATTATAAAATTAATTATTTATTTAAGATAAAAATAATTGCCAATTGTTTTCAAAACATAGGCAAAGTGTTTATTTTGGTTAGAAAAAAATAATAATCAAAAAAAAATAATTTTTGTGACAAAAAACAAACCGAGGTATTTTTTTGTTAATTATATAATTCCTCATTTTTTCCCTTATATCGAATAACATTGGTACACGGTATTCCCTTATATCGAATAATGACTGTATCAATATATATAAAAGCGATTTCGGCCGGGCTGCATGCCCTAACCGTAACATCTATTTTTGGTTTTCAATATAGTTAAATAGAAATAAAAACAACTATTTTATAGTTAATTTGTTACCGTTTTCAATTGACAGGGTTGAAAAATATGTGGAAAAATACAAAAAATGATAAAACAACTATAAATTAAACATATAATTTATTCTAATATATAGTAAATAATAAAAATATAAAAATAGAAGCAAAATTTATGGAACAAAAAAATATGGCAGATGATCGTTTTTGAATTATATTTAAAAATCATAAATTATGGATTAAATTATTACATAAAAGGACGCAAACATCATTAATTTGATGTTTGTGTATTAAAAAGTAATATGAACATCATATTTACGTCGTTTGTAATCAAAAGGAAATACGAACATCATAAATATGATGTTTGTATAAATTTTTGTAAAATTAACTAAAAAAATATTTAATAGTTTACAAATGATTAAAATGAACATCTAATTTATATTTTTAGATAAGTCTTTTTGCACCCATATTAATCGTAGGAAGGAAAATCTAATAAAAATAATAAAAATTATAGTTTTTTTACATCTACTTTTTTTTTAATTATGAAAAAAAGAGATTTTGATTAAATATAATTAACTAGAGAGACAGGACGGACATAGGGACGAAGGACGGGGAAATGGGCCAAATTACTTCTTTTGTGGTTTAGGGATGTCCTCCCGCTATAAAGGGCGCGTTTTCAAAACTATATAAGGAATCATATTTTTACAATGAATATACTACAGTTAACGGAAAAAGTGGGATGCTGAGAAAAAGGGGGATGCTCATTTTAATATTAATTAATTTAATATTATTAATAATAAATAATTAATATAAATTTGTTCAGTTTTTTCATTTTATTAATTTTTTGATTAATAATTTATATTAAAATTAATAGTAAATTTATTGTTTTTCAATTGAAATTCACCAATAGTTACGAGCATCCTCCTTTTTCGAGCATCCCCATATTTCCTCCTACTGTAATATTTATATAGCTTTAGCTTAATTTTTCTTTGTTTGGGTCACTTTTATTGGTGATTGTCTTATTTTAATTAAGAATCTGTTATTATTTTACTGTTTTGGGGGTCCCCGCCACTTGGTGGTGGGGTGAATCCTTGTATTAATATAATTGAATTATATGAATAACTATTACACTCAATAAAGAAATAAAAATGTATTATATAATATAACAAAAATATTAAAATAACTGGTACACTATTGCACCCATAACAATAAACCAAAAGTATTTAATTCCACTGAATAGAGTATATAGACAACACCTCAAATCCGTTTCTTAATCCGGTTTTGAAGGGGAGTGGTTTTCCATTCTTTTCAGTATAAAAGTTGGGCATTTCGTTATGGAAATAGCACTTCAGCATTCTTGTGTTCATAAATTCGTTAATAACTGCAAAAAAGACGGTGAACCCTTTTTGGGCTACAACGACACTATCTGCCTTTTTATCGGAAACCAATACGGTCTCGCCTATCCCCTCTTTTTTCGAGTAACACAACACATCCTTTCCCGATGTCACAAAAACAAAGAAGGACTGGTCGTCGGTGCAAAAGGAATTTTTAGTGATTTTCTTTTCGGAGTACAACCCGAAGAAGAGTGAAGAGTTTGTCGTTCTGAAGACTAACATGATGTTTTCCTTGCCTTCGATTGCGTTCACCAATTTGGAGATATTCAATTGATTCTGGAAATATACGACACACGGATTTTGACGAACAACATATTCTGAAAGAGACGCTATATGCTCAAATCGTAAGATCTCTTCTAATCGCTGAAATTCGATGGTCCGAGCGGATAACGGACGCTCAAAAGTGATGTCATCACTCTTCTTCGATTTAATACTCTGAACCTCTCGCTCACGTTTGGAAGTCATTTCTCTCCGAAGCTCTACAATCTTCTTCCGATAAAGACCTAAGTTTGTGATGACATCTTTCATCACATTGTTCCTCTCAGGATTACCTTCGACGGATGTGATGTACTGCTCAATACATGTCATCTCTTCCCCGCGCATTTTGGCCACTGCAGCTATCACCAGGGGTGGAATATCTTCGCGATACAATTCACAGTACGTCGTCGTGTCTTCCACAAAGACTTTTGCTAACGAAATCTCAGAAACATCGATTTTGAAGATCCTGACGATGTCTTGATCGATGTTTTGCGAATTCATTAAATACAAAAACGCGTTAAGTTTCGTACCATATTTTTGAAGCACTCGCAAGTCTTTAATTTGCATACGAAGGTTCTTTATCTCACTGCGTATTTCAGTGATATTGGGGTCAACCAAAGTCGATGACATTATAATTATTTAATAGTTGTTTTTTTATCATATTATAGAATATTATTCCAATCTATATTTATTATAATATCTTATTAATAATACTATTATATTATTAATATTATTATAATATCTTAATAGTAAGAAGAAGTAACACGTAACACGAGGAATTGATCACTTAGAAAATGATATCCTCATCGTCGTCGACAATACTTGTCGGTTTTCCGTCTCCCTTTGAGTCTGTAGTAGTATTTTTCTTCTTTAAAGCGGCCGCTGCAATTGCGCGTTGTTCGAGCTCTTTTTCCTTCTTCTCGATGACTTTCTTCTTCTTTTTCTGAACCATTTTCAATCGGAAGAATTCCTCACGCTCGGATTCGTCGAGTTCAGTTTCGATGTATTTGATTGTTGCTTTAGTCATTGGGATGACGACGTGTTCGAGAGCATTCACACGACGATTAGTGATTTTAATGACCGTGTCGAGTGTTAAGAAAGCTGTTTGAAGACTTGCGAGTCTAACAAGAGAATCAAGGGCTTTAATGTATTGTTGACGTGCATTTGAGACGGACTGACCACCTTTAGAAAGACCAGTTAAGTCTTGGAGTCGAACTTCTTGATGGGATTGGGAGAAGACGGGTAACTTAATACCTGCAATATTCTCTTGTGTCAACTTCACCTTATAAGTCGCGTTTTTGACATTTTGGACAACAACGTGAGAAAACTCACCCGCAGTGTATTTGGCTGATACCAAAGAAAACGACGACGCTTTCATATAGTCACGCATGGCCATTTTTTCATCAATGATCTTCTTCAAAATCGACTTGAACTTTTGATTCAACGCATCAGACTTCCTCTTCAACAAATCGTGGCCAAGTTGTGCGCCTATCAACTTGCTTTTGTAAGTCGTCATTTGCATACGCGTAGGGAAGACGGTGTATCTCTTATCTGACATGTGTTTGCTTTCGAGTTTCTTTTGCAGAAAAACACAGCATTTTTGGTGATGGACCATCTAGTATTTTGTATAATATATTTACTATTATCGTATAGTTTGAATAGTAAAGTATTTTAATTTTTGGTTGATTAATTATTATAGTAAAAATACTATAAATATAGGTCGATAAAAACAAAAATGAATCAGAAGAAAAACAAGGAAGATATGATAATGTTATATATAACATTTACTCAGTTAAAAACTCAGAAACAAAAAAAGTCAAAAAAAAGAAACTTGAAATTTCAAAAATGTGTGCAAAATCGTCACCTCACATTGTGATGGGGTGTTTTAAAGTCGTTTGTTTTGACGCAAGTAACATAAAAGAACTTGGAAAAAACACAGAACTTAAAAATAGAATGTTGGGGAGGATAAAGTGACTGAGGTACTAAGTAAGTATGTTGAGGTTGCTTCTGTCGATATCAGGTGCGATACCGCAAATGGAAAGTCCCTTGGTGTTGCTATAGTTACGTTGAAGAACTCAAAAGACCTTCAAAGCGTTCTGAAAGTGTTGAACGAGACTAAGGACTTGTTTCCACCGGAGATGATGAAGGAAAAGACTTTCTTCCAAGAATGGTCTCCACAACGGGAAACAGAATTGATTGTTGATTATGGTGATTTCTCACGTTCTTCTTCCAAAATTCAATACTCCTCATTACTTAAGTTTGTTGGCCTTCCTCGATTATTCAACCTCTTATGTCGTGTCATTCCAATCTCGGGGTTCATTATTTTTACTATTCAAATTACCATTTTTTTACTATATTTTATAGTTATTCCTAATCAATATTTATATAAATAGAGCACTGTTTTAATTCATCGTTTAAGTTATAATAGTAAATTGGTTTATAATTATGGAACGAACAGACTTATAAGAAGAAAAGATAGAAAGAATGAAAGTCGTGGTCGTGAGAAAGATAAGGGAAAAGATCATGATAGGGATGATGACAGAGACAGAAAAAGAAGATCTCGTTCGAAATCTCACTCCCGTTCAAGGTCTCGGTCTAAATATCACCATGAACATACCAAAGATAGGTTTGACAGAAGAGGAAACCGCGACAAAAGAAGTCGTAGCTCAAGCCGAGAAAGAAGAAGACGAAGTAACTCCAGAGAAAGGAGAAGAGATCGCAGCGATTCTCGTGGCAGACGTCGAGACACCAAAGACAAAGAGAAGAACTCGAGCCGCCCCAAGAAATGATTGAGTTTTCTGTTTTCTAGTTAAAAAATAATATCTTTATTCTATATCATTCAATAATAGAATAGTAATTAAATTATTATTCTATTATAATTCGTATTCTAATCACATATAATAGTATTATATAATAATAATAATATTATCAATTGACAGTGCAAGGGTTTATCATACTGAATAGTAAAAAAACCATAACAAAAATGCAACCAACAGCTTAGTTCTTCTTAGTAGCAGCAACCTTCTTAGCACCCTTAGCAATACCAGAGACGGCCTTAGCGATGTTCTTTTGTCTCTTAAGGATAGCAACTGCGTTGTTCTGTTGCATACCCTTAGTGAGTTTAGCAGTCTCAAGCTTCTGCTTCTTCTCGAGAGGAATAACAGCGTTCGGGTCCATAACTCTCTTAGTGCACTCGACGGCTTTGACTGGGAGTCTGAAGACTCTGTTAGCGAGTTCCATGTACTTCTTGTGATCCTTCTTGACGTTCTTCTTGAATTCCTTTTGTGCGGCAATCCAAGCCTTAGAGCAAGCCTTCAATTCCTTTCCCTTCTCAATGGTCTTGTTGGCCAAATACTCCTTCTTCAAGGCAATAACCTTAGCCTTGAGGTCTCTCACCTTCTTGTTGTGGTCGTCGAGGAACTTCTTAATGGCTTCGGCCTTCTTCTTTCTGCTCTCAGCTTCTTTAATGTCCTTCTGTGCTCTCATAGCCTTAGCTGATTTGTGCATTGGTAAGACGGTGAGTCTGGCCATATAGGATTCAAGTCGCGATTTGTTTCTGTTCACAGACTCTTGGGAGAGATTTCTTCTCTTTCTATCTACGGCAATCCCGATGGTTGGCGCCAATCTCGCGTCAATGTGTGCGGCTCTCAACTCAGCAAGAGTGAACCCTTTCCCGAGTCTCAATTTGTAGTTGTATTTCTGTCCCATGCAGTGGACGGCCGGGCGCAACATCTTGATTGGATTTGGGAAACTTTGGCGAGCCTTAGTCACACGGACTTGGTGGCGGCGGACTGCGCGGAATGGCTGTTTGAACCAGGTGTGTACTTTTGTCTCCCAGTGTGCTTTTCTGAAGTGGTTGTTCTGTAACGCCTGGTTATGTCTCATCTGATGGCAAAAATTAGATGTTGCTGTCCCCTTTTGACCTAACCCTTTTCCTCTTATTCTTCGTTTTATTGTTGATTTGTATTTCACCTATTCTTTTGGGTTTTTCATCCTTTTAGTATTTTTACTAGTTTCTCTTCATTTATTTACTATCAGTTGTGTTTTACTAGTAATGTATAGTTGTTTAATATTGTTTTCTAGTTCAATCGAAAGAAATTTGAAAATTTTATCGGTTATTCAAATAAGACCAAATTCAAATAAATAAGTTGTGTTTCTTTCCGATAAAAATCAAATGAAAATTACTTTATTCATCACTCAACTCGTTACCACTGTTGCTGTGCTTCTCTTCTTTCTCTTCACTCGAACTTTCTTCCTTCGTTTCTTCTTTCTTCTTACTCGACTTTTTGACAAACTTTTCTTTTGGCCTCTGTTTTTCTTTCTCCTCGTCTTCTTTTTTCTTTGCTCTCTCTTTCTTCACGACTTTTCCAGACTTAACAGTCCGGGATTTTTTAGTCGTCTTTCGTGGTTTTCTCTCTTTCTTTTCTTTAACAACAGACTTCTCAGTGCTCTCCTCGTCCTCTTCACCTTTTAAAACTGAAATTTCCGAACTCTTCTTCTTAGGCTCCATATTCATAAACGGATTGACTTTCTTTGGTATGGTATACCCATAGGGCAATATTGCACTGATTGTTTCATTCTTGTCTCTCAGCTCAAACAAAGCTTTTGAAACACATCCGGCATTCTCCGAAACAATGTACTTCTTCCCTTTACTACAATTGTCCAAAACCATTTCGCCAATGGAAACCGCTGCTTGGAGTTTGCTGTTAATTTTTGCAACAGTCTCTTCGTTCTCTTCTTTACCAACTTTATCTTTACTCTCCTTCACGCCAATTGCGTCTTTCGACAATTTAATGATTGAAAGCTGATTTTGTAACACAGTGATTGCGTCGTTGTGATTCTCGATTAAACACTCAATCATCGCTTCGATGACTCGGGCAGCTCCATCAAAATCGCCGTCGTCCATTGCAGAAGTGTGCGCGTAATAACTTAACATGTATTGAAACGAATACTCTGGAATTATGACAACGGCGTTCTCTGTTGTTAGTTTCTGGGCATTCATTTGGTAGAGTTTTCTCCTTGCCATTACAGCTCTGACCAAAATCGTTTTCGATAATTTCATCAGTCTGGGTTGTTGCGACATGAGTGCTGGAATGATGAAATATCGAAGTGGAAGTTGTTTTAAAATTTTATTAAGCACCTCACAGTACTTCCTGTGGTGATTAGTGTGTTTAATGAGTTGTCCACAAAATGCGAAGAAGTCGTTCTGGCTCAAAATCGCGTCGTAAATCCTCATCGACACTATTTCTAGAAGAACAGCAAGCGAAAGTCCTCTCACAAAATTTTCGTTTTCGATTAGATTGATGTTGTCGTTTTCCATTGGGTGGATAGAGAAGTTAATTAAGAAATAGACGATGTCGTCTTGAGCTGGCGCGCTCTTCACTAGTTTGCCGTTCTTGAGTAAATACGTTTTGACCAGTTTAAACACTCTCTCAACAAATTCTTTCTCTTTCACCTCTAGAATCATTTCCGGTATTATTTCGCTCATAACCAACCCAATGATCTCTTTACTTTCGCTGCGTTGTGAATACACGCCTTGGTATTGAATCACGTGTTTTATTATACAAAACGCATTCATTTCCTCTTGAAGGTGCCTTGCTTTGTCATTTGCGTTCTTCCTGTTTTTGATTGTTTCAACACCTTTCATAAACAGTTCGTCATAGTACCCTCTTTCATCGTCTTTCCACAATGAATGCAATAAAAACATGGCATCTTTCGTAATCTGCCACTCGCCAAGTAAACAATTTGATTTCAACTTCTCTTTCAACTCGTCGTCGATCAAATTCTTTGGAATGTACTTAAACCCCTCTCGCAATATTTCCATCAAATCATTTGTGTCGTCTTCTTTCAATTTGATGATTCTCTCGATATTTTCGTCAAGCACTTTCCCATAGTACTTCGCGATAATAGCAAAGCGTTCGTTCATTTGGTCATACAGTTCTTCGTCCTTGAGAATGTACTTGAAGACTTCCTTACTCAATATTTCAACAGTGAACTTGTCTACTATTTTGTTTGTGAATTCTTCGCTCTTTGTCTTCCTTTTCACATCGATCTCTCCAATTATCTTTCGCGCTGCGCGCCAATATTCATCAAATGGCAACTCATCATCGTTCATTTTCAACATGATTTTCACGGTCTTTTTACTCATCCCCTCAAGGAGTTGTTTCGCAAACTTCTTGCTTCCCTCAAACGTTGGGAAAGGCATCATTTTTGCAAACAAAATCACTAACTCGTCTTCTGTCTTCTGGTTTTTAGCCTCGTCCCAATTCTTCAACTTCTCGCAAACAATTTTTCTCTCTTCGTGGAACGCGGCGCACGTCTTCATTAAAATTTCAAATTGTGGGTTCTTCAGAACTGAAGAAAACAACACAAATCGCTTTGCTCGCAATTTTAAATACTCTTTCAGCTTCTTTTCATTCAATTCTCTGTTGTTAATGTCGCCCAACACAGTAAAACAAATGAGTCCAAGTACTCTTGTTCTGTCGTCCTCTATTCTCACATCGTCGAGCACTTCAACAAGTGCATTTGAATACCTGATGACCAATTTTTTTTGCACGTTATTTTCTCCCTCCAGAAATCTATTTAAAAAGTTTCCCACAAAGTTCTGTGCGGCGTCTCTCACAATTTCCTTCTTGTCTTTCATTCGTGTCCCGATCTCTTCCATCACTTTCGTTGGGATTTCTTTCTCTTCGTCATCGAAGAACATTTTCTCAATTTCTCGAATAGTATTTGCTCGGATCATTGGTTCAATATCAGTGAGTCTTTCAATCAACGTATCAGTATAATCAACACCATCTTCGTTCATTTCGGCTGGTGCTTTTAACACATAATTCCCAACCGCTGCTCTGATGAGTCCGCTCTTATCCTTTCCTCGTTGTGTTATTGCCATATTCAATTGAATCAATTTGGCTGGTGGTAATTGACAATTAAGAACGTAGTACGACACTATTTTAACCATTCTCAGTCGTTCCTCGTCCACTGGTATCAGTAACAATCGCTCCAAATAGTTCTCGTCATTTTCAAGAACTTGACAGTCAAATTGGACGATCTTCGCCAAAACAGTTGTGAATATGTGGACTTCCGCTATGCGTTGATTTCTCCCCTCTTTCTCGCCGTCGTCGTTCTCGTTTTCACTCTCTTCGAAATCGAAGTTCTTGACACTCTCGACTATCCCGAAGAATCCGTTTTTCAAATTATTCAATGCGTCACTGCTTATCCCAAACAACTTCTCGATCGCGTCGCCTTCTCTTTTAATTCTTCCCGAAAAGGTGGTGATGTCTTTATCGTGGAACAGTGGCGCTTCTGTGGTTGCAAAAGGGCGAAGGATCGACAGACACACCGCATTTTGTTGATCGGGGCATTCGATTAGAAGTGAATCAATCATCGGAGTAAGTAAATCAAAAGAGACTTTGGAGTCCTTTGGTGCCGAGAGAGTGGCTTCGATAAGACACTCGACAAATGTGAGGGTTGCGGTGATGTCGACGTCTATCATTAATAACAAAAACTTGGTCGCTGTCAAAAGGTCGATAAATTTGACGTGCAACTCACTCAAATCGCTTTTTGAAACCTTGACCGTTCTGGCAAAAAGATCTGGAAGACTCTTTAAATCATCTTCGGTGTGTGGCGGAACAGGCGCAGTGATACGCAAAATCTGGAGATGGCAAAGTGAAAGGTATATAAGTAAGTCATCGTTTTGAGGAATTTCCTTTAAAAGCTCAAGGCTCTTGGCAGGCAATTCACTTTTTTGTGGAAGTGCCTCGAGCTGTTCGCTCAGGGCTCTCAGCTTCTCAATCTCGGCAGACGGTAAAACACTCTTTTTCGACTTGGGCATTTTGACTTTCCAAGAAAAAAACAAAAAAGAAAAATGTTTTTTATTTTATTTATTGATTAGAATTATATTATTAGTAAACCAATATAAATAATATATTTGTTTTCTCTTTTTTACCGATTTGATCTAATATATTAAAATAGTTCGATATGTCATCTTTTGCAAATAGAACAGTTCTATAATTAAATAAAAAAACTAGCAATCAAAACCATTTGAAACTATAATACTGTTAATAAAAATAGAAAAATAATCAATTATTTCTCAAATAAACAAGAGCGTTATTTTTACAAATGAAACAGAACTATTAAGTAAAAGTAACAAAATTTGAAACAAAAAGCAATTCAAACCATAAATATGAAATGATTAGATTAAAAATTGTTGAATAGATTACATATAAAGAGGTGTTATTTGAGGGGAATTATTGAAGACTGGGCACCGTGGTCTAGTTTTTATCTGAGTTGCATAGTTTCTTAAGTCTTCTATGTTAGAGCTGTTAATATTTCTCATCGAGATATATTTTCCCGTGCAAAGCTCGTTAACATTCTCGTAGAAATATTTGAACCCTCCTTCGAGCAAGTAGACTTCTGGGAAGTTAAGTTCCGATAACCCGAGCGACTCCATTCTAATGAAATCCATTTCTTGAAGGAGATTTGCTATCTTTGGTCCCCGAGTTTTAGAGAATTCGCAATAGACAACAACAACACGGTTTTCCTCGGAGCACCAAGTGTCGAATGGCTTCATTTGTTGAGCGAGAGTTGTGTCGTTCCAGACATTAATTGAGTTAATGATATGTCCTTGTTCGTATTCAAAAGGGAATCTTGCGTCCAAAATGATAAGATTTTTGTTCTTCTCCATCAAGCTTTTAAACTGGTCTGGGGAGATAGTCTCCGTCGCCTGTTTTCTTGGTGATATTTTCGGAGAGCGTCGGGGGGTGTCTCGCGAGGACTCAAAAATACACTCAGAGCTTTTCTGGATGTTTCTTCTCATCTGAGAACCCTTTAGTTTCTCTTTGCGACGCCTATCGGGGAAAGAACTTACAACGGGACTTGTTGAAATGACAGGAGTCATACAACAGACGTCTTCAAGAGGGTTTGGAGAAAGAGAGGAACACGGGGAGTCACAATTAGAGAAACTCTGTCGTGGCGAATTTATAGGGGTGAAAGACCGGAATGGGATTTGTGAGACAAAGAATGAGTTTCCACAGAACGACGAGGTGCGTGTAAAATTCCTCAATCGCTTGATGGGTTGTGCCTCACAATTTTCCATCGAATTATATTAACGTGTTTTGGAATAGAATTCAAACACGAGATTAAGCGAATCATATTTGAGAGAACATTTGGAGGTTTTCAGAGTAAAAAAAAAGTTGTGACTCAGTGATAGGTGTTTATCATTGAACGACTGCTTTTACAAAAGTCAGTCTTATTTTTTATAGGAAAATGGCAAAATTGTGATTTGGTTGGTTGTGTTTGTGGCCTTCATTGCCAATTCTCGTTATTTTAATTATGAAAAAAATGTTTTTGGTTTCCGCTGTATTTTTTGCTTTAAACTTTTTTTTTGGATAAATAACTTCGATGTGTCTATTTTGACTTGTCACAAATTTCCCGTTTTATGAATTTTGTTCTGTGTAAAATTCCATTGTTATTTGTTGCTAATACAACAAGTTTGAAAATAATAAAAATACAAAAGTCAAATTTCTGAGTTTTGTTATAAACGCCTTTTTTATCTAATTAGTCGGGTTTCTTCCCACTAAAACTACTCATCCTGTTTTTTAAAAACACTGATATTAAAACAACTTCCCAAAACCCGTGACTATCACTATTGCATCGCTTGTCATTTCGCACTTTTTTTCTCGGTATTTCCCGTTTTTATGAAGAATAATTGACTTTTTTTAAATGGATTTTTTAATGTGCAAATTTACGTGTTTTTTGGTATTTGAACGACAACGAGATATAACAAATAATTGTAACGAGTTTTATAAAACAGTATTAAAACATGTAGAAAATTAAGTTTACTTATAATTTTCAATCTATATTTAAATAGTTAAAAAATGCGCACGACGTTGCCGATATGCAATTATGAATTGAATGGTTGTTTATTTTCATTTTATTTTCCAGTTCAACGTTTTGTGAAGAAAGTAATGAACAACTTTTTGAACAGTGGTTTCATAATTAGGGCAATATCACACATTTGTTCTGTTTTAAGTCTAATATAACGGGGTTCATATAAAATAGAATCAAATGGTAAACATTTGTCCAATTTACAAATGTTTGGAAATGAAAAAAAAATATAAATAAATATAAAAAAGGGTATTTTGTGTCTATTCTACCATTAACTTATTTATGTCATAAAAAAATGTGTTGTTAACGCAAAAATTTTATTATTTGTACCAAATGAAACCCTGGTTTCCTTATTTCTTAAACTCAAAGGATAATAGGCTATTTTTAGGTTGTTTTTAGTTTTTTGTTGGAAATTATTTTTATTTTTTCTTTTGGGTAATTGTAAAAAGATAGCTAATTTAATTATATTTTATCTAATTTTAGAAATAAAAATGATTATCTAATTATTTACTAATGTCAACTATTGTTTCAATTTAAAATATAAACTAAAATATATTAAATGATTGTATGATGTTACTATACAAATTTGTGAATGCGTAGAATTTAACTTTTTTACTAAAATGAATATTTTTTTTATTTATAAAATTTTCTCAAATTAAAAACAAAAACATATTTGTCGGTGTAAAAAAAAAATGATAATAATAAAAAACTATCAAATATATAATATAATTTGTAATTATTTGAATTGTTTACAAATCTTATAAAAAATAAATTTTTATTTAATAAATCTAAATAAAAAAAAAATTCAAAGTTAACTTTTTTATATACAAAACAAGTGTTTTTGATTAAAATTTATATAATTTGTTTAATTATAATATGTAGTAAAGTTTTAACAATTTTTTTTTTCAATTTTTTATAAATATTAAAAAGTTTGTTTGTCTGTTTGTTATTAATTATATTAATAAATTTTTTTTACTTATAATGTTTGTTTTATTATTGTAAAATAACTTATTTTGTTTTATAATAACATTATAGTTTATTTTAATTGTTTTGTAATTGTATGGTTTTTTTAATGATTGTAAAATGTGTAAAAAAAAATGAAGCTTTAAATCAATAATAAATAATTTATTATTGAAAAGCCAATAATATTTAACCAGTAAAAAAATAAATTAACCGAAAAAACCGAAACGGCAAAATTCGATGGAATATGTTGTGAGGTGTTCATGTTCACGACGAGTGTATCTAAACGAACAGTTCGATCACCTTCTTCCCGAGTCATTCACGTCTCCCGTCGAATACCGTCCTTCTTTCAGCCGTCCTTCCGATGATATAGAAAACGCAGAAATCTTGAAAACAAGGACAAAAAGAATACCAGTTCCCACACAACGCAGTAATTCTGCGAATGTGATTGGGCCTGTTTTTATTCAGAGCTCATCATTGCCAAGCCATATGCACACGCATACAGCCGTCTCACCAACGTCGAAACAAAAACAAGCAGTCGACATCACAAACACATCAGAATTCATCGCCTTCCAAAACGTATTTGAAGAACAACTCTCTGCAAAAATACCATGGTGCCCAGTTTGCCTCAAGAAAAGCCAAAGCAGTCTTAGTGAGACGTTGGTGCGGTGCTTTAAACAGAGGAAGGTAGAAACTGAAAAGCTTGAGGAGCTCCAAACGCTCAGCGAAATCATCGATTCAGAAATTCGAGCAGAGGAAGAACAACTCAAACAACTGGAGAGTGACATCCTGTTTTTGCACGAGAAGAACAGTCTGGTGGTTTACGTCTACTCGGAGCTGTGCAATGACTTGAGGCTGTTCAGAACAACTTCAAGCACACACTTTTCACAAATAGCTTGCCTTGAAAAGGTGGTGCTCAAAAGTTCTGTCGTTCCGGATTTGTCACTTCTCAATCTGCAGATTGAGAGGTTGCAGAACGATCGAAGAATTTGGGGTGATATTTTTGAAGTCAGTTGGACCGACGGAGGTGTTACGATCTGTGGTGTTAACCCCGTCGAAAGCATCAAAGCCAAAAATTACACAGAAGTCCAGGCTTCGTTTGGGATGATCATTTCATTGATCAAAAAAGTCGCGTTTTATTCTGGTGCCTTCCTCCAAAAGACTTGCATCGATGGGTTTGGGTATGGTGGATTTGTGGTCAACCACACAGACTTTTCGAACGTGAGTCGGTCGAAGTTCAAAAATGGGTTGAAGGGGGTTCTCGTTGCGTTTGAGGAAGTTTCGACGTTTTTATCCGAGACCACAAACTTCGAGCTACCATTTCCGATAACGAAAAGTGAGTACTTCCAAATATACTCGTTCACCGATACAAGTAATCTCGATCAATGGGCGGTGGCGCTGAAATTCTTTGTGTCTGACTTGGGGTACATGTTTTCATATGTGTTTTTTAATTAACTGTTTCAATTCAGCCAGGTTTTCATTTTTTTTGCTTGTGTTATAAATTGTTTCTTCTCAAAACAATGAGAAATTTGTGGTTTTGTGAATCATCACCGAATGAAGGTCGAATTGTTTAATTTTTATTATTGAAAAGATCACAAAGTATTCATGACTCATGTTTCAAAGATATCAATATCACATCAATAGTATTTATGGTTTATATATTAACACTTCTGGTATTATTTTAATAGTTGTTTGGATGATTTTGAATTATAACAATTCTTTACTAATATCATTGATACTTTATGATTATAAATTATAATCATAAAGTATCAATGATCGCCACAAATTAGTTGTTTTTGTTCCATTAAAATATTATTGTGTAACCATTAAAAATTATTTATATCTAATAAAATATACTATTATTTGTTTCAACAAAATAAACCACAAATCGCACTGATCTATTTTCCCCTCAGAAAAAGAATTTATTTTTCATGTGATTTTTATGGAAAAAAAAAGAAAAACATACCACAAAGCAACTAATCGATGAATTTGTACAGAAAAAAGAGACAAACCCGACAATAGATAACTATATGCAACCCTGCATTAAAAAAGCCGTCTAAAAATAAATCAGAGAAGGTTGAAAAATCACGGAATTCCCAAACCTCATCTTTGTTGAATATTCCCGTTATTAAGCCCCTAAATATTCTATAATTCTCTTTTTAATTACAGAACCAAATAAATTTTATACGTTTTTGTTTTTAAAATTCAAAACGAATTTCGGAATCAGGACAAAGAAAATACCATCTGTTATATATTGCTTTTTTTCTTTTTAACAATATTTTTATACAATTTATAATAATAATAATAATAATAATAATTTATTAATTATTTGATGACTTTACAAAAAACTTTTAATACAAGTGGCATTTTTAAAAATAATTTACCAACGAAAAACCCCAAAAAGAAATAGAATCTTCCAACCCACAAAAACGTATTAAAATTATAATACAGAATACCATATTTTAATTATACGATAAAAAAAAAAGAAAAAAAGAACTTTTTTTTGAGTTTGGCTGTTTCACGAATCATTAATAGTATAGTTGTAGTAACATTATAATAATATAATAGTACAACAAAGTCATGTTGTTGTTTAAAAAAATTTGCCAGGTGGACTTTAACAGAATTTTCGAACAAAAAGCGCGACATGTTTTGTGTTATTAAAAAAATTGGTGGCGGTCATGGGAAACATCGGGCTTTTTTTTCGAAATGAAGAAAGACAAACCGAAAAGAAACGGATAGAATATAAGGAAACTGAACTTTAAAAAAAAACACACGAAAAGCATGAACATAATCAACCCCATTCCAAAACGATTGTGTGTGATGAGCGATCTCGATGATTCATTGAGTTCATGTGACAGCTCCTATGGTGAAGGAAGAGCTGATACTTTCCGTCCTAATAATTTGAATTGGGATTATCCACAAAGGGGATTCTCACCGATACCAGACCAATGCAATGAAAATGTTGAAAATCAAATGGATGTGATGGACGAGTCATTCGATGAAATATTCGAGGACAACACAAATCAAATCATTAAAGGAAGTCCAGTCTATCAGGACTCTCTCTTCAACTACGAATTTTAATTGTATACTATATTTCCTTTATAGTTGTTTTTATAGTATTGTTATCATTATATATATAATAAAATATAAAATAGTTTTTTTGTTTTGACTTCAATTTATATATATTAATTTTTTAATTATTAAAATATAATATTGCATCTAGTTAAATTATAATAATTAATACTAATAAAAATTAAAACAATCTTTTTAAGAACAATACTATTACTCAAATTAATTTATTTTTTATGTTTTTTTGCAATAACATTTTTTAAATTATTAAAAAGAATTAAAACTGTTATTATAATTAAGAGATGGAGAGGGAACACATCAATCAATTGATCACATGTATATCAACACTACCAGATGATGACAAATACAAACAAATATTTTTTGCATTTGCAGAGTGTTTAAACGACTTGACCAAACCGAGTTGCTTTGACGAGAACGATAAAGTTAATACACCTCCACAACACCACAATGAAAGGGATAAAAATTGTAGTTTAAAACCTTCACTTAATGACACAAAAGGTATTCCAAAGAAAATTGAACACGAAGTACCAACAATTGAGATTAACGCATTGGACTTACTTTCAGGATCAACACCGATGATCACACACATTCATACCGTCTTAACTTTTGTTCAGTTGAAGACATACAAAGTTGTTTGTGATACAACTTCTAACACACAAAAGGATTTGGTCAATTTTTTAAAGCAAACACAGACGTCTTCATTATACTTCGAGACAGACTCGGGCCGCACTTTCTCGATATTTTTCTCAAAGCCACAAAAGAAGATACTGTTTATTACACACAACGAAAAACCTCAATGCATCTCTCCAATTGGCGATTGTGATCTGAAGTATTCCAATTCGGAAGACGTCATCATGACATTTGGAAATGATACCAATTTCCTTCGCGTTGGCACTTTAGGCAAAGCAAAGAGTTTTGCGTACTTCTTCGACAACCTCTTTCCAATGAACAATCCTTATTTTGTCAACATATCTAAGTTCAGAACAAATCGAATAGTTCTCTTCGACTTGAATTAATTTCAGTGGTATATTATTATGAAGTTAAAATGTGTTTTATTGAAACTCGTTGTATTATATAATATCATATAATACTCTTCTGTATGTCATTCATTACAAAAAAATATAAAATTAAAAGTGACTTGAATCCTCTGTTCCTTAATCCTCGTGCTTTTTCTCTGCCTTCTGCACATCACCAGTATACGTGTCGACATCCTTTCTGATATAATAAAGCACATACGCACTCTTCGAGACTATAGATGCCTCTCCTATTTTGGAAGTCGATGAATCGTTGAAATCATACCAGTCTTTCCCAACACGCGCAGAAGCAACATAGTGTCCGCCCCCAAGGGAACCAGAGTGATTGCTGACGGCATACAAGTTGTAGATTGGGGGTGTCTTTGGATCATACTTTTTCACGTATTGTGTTAAGTCAAGGTCATAAATTGGGAAGTCGACAAGTGTTGAGATCTTGTCTCTAACACTTCCGCCAACACTCCCAAACCGCTTCAAATGAATAACTAATATCTCGTTAGTGCTCCATATATCCATCTTTTTCTTGCATGTTTGGTGTGTCTTACAAGTTGAGCAGTAGACAGTATTGTCTCCTGTTAAGTGTTCTTCTTCTTCAAACAACTCGAAACATTCATATAAGGTGACTGGATCCGTTTCTTCTGTGTTGTAGTATGAGGAATATGGTTGAATGATGTATCTGTACCCTTCTTTGGCAATATTCACAGCTTGGACAATACCACTAGAAACAGCCTTGTATTCAAACGCATTAATATACTTCTCTTCTTTCTTTTGGATCTGTTCTTCTTCTTTTTTTGATACTTCTTTCTTCTCATCATCTTTCTCGGCATTCTTAGCAGCGTCTGCGTTGGTCATGTTGTTGTTGGAAGATTCTTTCTCCTTATTGTTGTTGCTAACAACAACTTCTTTTGTTTCGTTGTTCTCTGTTTTGGCATTCGAAATAGTTTCTGTGTTTTTTGTTCCAGTTGGAGGAGTGGTATCACCTTTCTTTTCATCTTTCTTCTCTTCCTTCTTTTCGTTGGTTTCAGTTCTGTTGTAATAAGAGTATGAACTCACCTTGTAATCATCTTTGAACAACACAACAAGTGCCTTATCTACTTCTTCAAGACTCTTTTTCTTATCAAAAACGACTGGCATTCTGAAGTCTCGATACGACGAGTAATTCACTTTAGTATCATACACGACAAATTCCTCACACTTGTCCTGTTTTTCTACAATCCCATACTCACACCCAATTTGAATCGGAGTGTCTTTATCCACAACACCTTTCACTTCATTTCCATATCCAAGTTCAACAACAATAAAGTCTTTTGGGTCTTGTGTGAACGATGCACTCTTCAGTCCTTCCTCAACTATTTGTTCAAACGTCTTTCCCTTGACTGAAACTTTCGCCTTCTTCGAGTGCCTGAATTCTTTGTCATACACGTTGAATGATACGGTCGACATTTTGTTTGGTAATTGCAAACTGATGAACACATATGGATCAAATCTCAAATTGACGTGTTTACAGACATCACACACAACATTCGACTTAAACTGCCCGGCAAAGAGTGTTGTGATGATCGAGTCGTTTCTCATCTTGTATCTCTTCCACTCTTCTTGTGCCCAAACTTCATCCCCTTCGCCATTGTAATCCGGAATTTCAACATAGGGTTTCTTCTTCACTTTATTGAGATCTTCGTGTATCCCATCAACCAAGAACGACAGTAACTCTTGTGAGTCTTGTTGCTGATACCCACTGAACTGTGGCGCAAATTCTCCAATCGCACTTTTGAACTCTCTTGGAGACAAAACCGAGTACCCACCCCAGTACTTGTCCAAAAGCACTTTCCACGCATTCACGAGCTTTCCTCCAGTCCCAAGAGGGTTGTCTGTATTAATATCATCACTCCAATTTGCGGTGTTGAAAAATTCGTTGAGTGGCATTGTATGGAGTAGACACTGCAATGCGCTATTCATGAAACATGTATTTCCCAAATTGCGAAGACCACACACACCCTTTGTTCCGTCCTTTGTCTTCTCGTCATCGTAGTAGTTTCTGTAACTTGATGAAGTGTACTTATTATAATTGGACGAGGTGTATTTGTTATAATCTGTAGCAGTACAACTCGAACTATAAGCTGAAAGAGATGGTGCGGCATCTTCGACACCGTGTGACGGGTATAAATCGGTTTCAGGCTCTGGATCCGGGAATGTCGGTTTAGCCTTTTCTTCGATCACCGCAGTTAGAGTGTGAGTATTTCCAATAATACTTTTGACTGTTTTGTTGGTGTCGACCACTTTGTCGCCGTCAGTCACGACAACGTCGTAGTTCTCGAAGATGATTTCTGCTTTGAACAGTTTCTTCAGCTTCTTGATAGTGGTTTGAAGTGACACACAGGTGAACAACTTGACTTTGCGTTCTTCTTCACGTTGAGTCCCGTCGAGAGCTTTCACCGTCAATTTCAAAATGACTTCGTCCTTCTCTGTGTATCGCGCAAATGAGTTTTGGAGCTTTTCAATGTAAACAACAGGAAGTGCTGGGAATCGAGTGTTTGGTCTGACGTACAAGTAAATTTTCTTCATGAAGTCAAAGTTCTTCTTTGAGAGTAAAACATAGTCTACACCTTCTTTGTAGTCATCTTTGATATGATCGGAGTCGTCGATTAACCCAGTCGAGTCGTCGATATCGGGTAATTTCATTTCGTCTTCCATGTGACTTCTCTCTGTAATAGATATCTTGTCTAAATAGTTCCCCGCACACTTTTGAACTTGATCGGAAAATTGTTTGGGGACGGCGCGGAACTTCTCGATGTGATTTGGCGTCAGTTCTTTGCGGTAGTCTTGTGGAAACTTCTCGCACTTCTTTGCGTGGAAAATAGCAGTCATGAAATCGTTTTCTTGGACCATGGTCGTTTCATTGAATTGGTTTGGGTCCTTAGTTGGCAACATACACCTTTGAGGTTTTACAGTTCAAGATAATAACTTAAGAGGTTCGGTGAGTCTTTTTAAATTGTGTTATTTTTCTTTTTGTATGCTGTTCTTTTTGTTGCAAATAATCTTGTTATTTTTTTGAATTTTTGAACTATTTTTATGGTTTTTATTTAGTATTATGCAGAATTTAAATTTACACCCAACGCATTTTTGGATCATCTCAATTAATCATCAATAAATTTTAGTTTTTTGCATTTATCAAGTAATGAGGTTTATTAATTTTTTTTTATAATTTATTAAATTTAAAATTAACTGCTTTTATTATAATAATATAATAAAAATACCTATTAAAAATTATAATTTTTATGAAAACAACATCTGAAATATATAAAAAAATACAATAAGATAACAATTTCTGCTCAAATATTTATTTTAACTATTTATTAATTGAAATTACTTAAAAATTATTATTACTTGTATAATTGATGATTAATAAATAAATTAAAAAATAATAATACATTTATAAATAGACTTTTGTTATAAACAACAATAAAAAAATAATACTTCAAAATGTTATTAATTGAAAGAAAAAACGAAGAAATAAAAAAAAAACAATAAAACCAAAAGTGATGAATGAGATTGAGATGGATGAACTTGCAACAGATAATTCTTTATCTGTTGGACCAAAAGACGTACCTCTCAATTCAAATCCGACGACAGTCGAGTCTCATTCCGTATTAACGCCACCTGTAAATAAAAAGCACAATTGGTATAAACGACTTGCCTCTACGGCAGTGTTTGTTATCCTTCTTTTTAGTTATCTCTTTTGTTACATCTCGTTAGAAGACGTTGAAGAGATGGAAGTGTTTAAGAAGGGTATAGTAGGTGGGTTTGTCCTCATTCTATTGATTATTATGTTCTTCACCTTTCAAGCCATTTTACTCTTACCAACCATCCAACGACTTATTCACCGGATTCCTTATTTGGACCGTGTTATGGCGTTCTTTTACAAGAATTACAATCACCAAACCTTTGTATTCAAATTGCCGAACTTGGACAAAATGATCGAGCGAATCCACAACGATCCCCCTGTCGAAAAGGTCAATCGGACTCCGATTAATACGATCATCCACTCGTACAGATCATTTATTAAAACACACACAACAACTATCAAAATATTCACCGTGACACTCTCGATCGTGGCAATTTGTTTTTCCCTCGCGCTCATATATCTTGTCGTACAACAAACAGAAACATTTAGAAATGCTTACATACAAACATTCATCATATCCGCTTTGATCATTTCGTACGTTCTAATTTGCTTAATTGTGCAGATCAAAATTGTCGAAATTATCGTTATCGTGTTACATTCACTATTTTACGTGTTTTACAAACGAATCGTCGTCGCCCCATCAATCTTTATTGCGTTATCTATGCTCTCCGTCTCGACGGCTTTGTTCCTTTCAAAAGTCCCAACAACATCAACAACAGTTTTGGAATGGTTCCACACAGCAATTTATTCGTCGACGTTTGCAGTGACCATGCTACTCTTTACATTGTTTGTGGTGGGATTTGTGTTGTTTCAAAGTCGATTCAAATGTTCTGACTTTGGGAAAGTTATGCGGAAGTATTTGCGCTCGATATTTATCACGCATTGGTGCGCAACGTTGACATACACGACATTCTTATTACTGTTTTTGATCAGTGCGGCCAGCTCTTGGTGTTTAACTGTTATGACCTTCAGTAAACTGAACGTCCCAAATTCATTCAACTCCATCGAAAACACTAACACAATTAATATCGAAAATGTGCCAGTTATAACAAGACCACTCTCACAAATCACTTTTGGCTGTGGAATTGACAATTACTACCGAGCTGAATACACTAAACCGACTATTCTAACACCAACAATGGACTTTTCAAACTATTTGCAGTTGTCAGTTACATCACAAGATTACTACCACATCACAAGTTCACATATTCCAATGAATGGCGTTATTTTGTTCCCTTCAGATATTTTGGAAGAGAAGAATAAGACGAAACAATACCGCGTTGTTGCTATATTACCCGAGCATTTGGGCAATTTGGTGAGTGGCGATATTGGATATCGATATCTCCAGGAAACCTTTGCGCAAAACGATTTGATTGCGATTTCAATCGACTCGACATTTTTCGATAAAGACGCCAGTGGTAACTGGATTGTTGTTAAAAACAGCAACGCAACACAACGCGAGAGATACATAGAAGTAAGGAGTTTACTTGCACTCAACACACTCAATTACTTAGAAACAGAACTGAACAAGTATTTCAATGTTACCATTTGGGTCGAAAAATTTGGGCTGTTTGGTGATAGAACGGGCGGGAGTGTTGGGATCAAAATGGTGGAGACGCTCAAAGACAACGTCGCATATCCTTTGTTATACAAAAATGCGATTCAAAAGAACTTACAAGTGGTTTCATTCAGTGGCCTTTCAATACAAGAAATTATCAACAAAACGTTATTCAGTGACATCTGTTCATATTTTATCGAAGTTGTGCCTTCAATTCCAGCATATCCAAAACCATTTTTGGTGAGTTACAGTCACTTCCCAGAACAGGATATAAATCTCCACAATGAGACCACTGAAAGTAGCGAAAACATTTTAAAAAATGAAGTGACTTTGTTATATACAGGGGCTTTGATAATCCAACGTGGGAATGCAAACAACTATAATAGCGAATATGTCGAGGAGGACAGTGGCATTTTAATCGACAAAATATTCCCTTCTACACAGCACTATATGGAAAAAGAGGAGTTGCAATACACAGTTTCTCTCTTTGTGGGGAGCCACTTCATTTGCAATTTGAACGAGCGGTGTTTCAATTATCAAATGTTAAGAGACTTTAAAATAGCAGACGAAGTGCTTCCAACGACGTCGGCGTATTTCAACACGTACAAAAGTAACAAAGACATTTTACTCGACTCGAATGGAACACTTTTCCACAACGTCACATCGTCCACAAATGCGGAATTCGTTGGGTTGTTTTACCAAAATGCGTACCAACAATTACATCGAAACATGAAGTGCCAAACTCTGTGTAAGTACACTTTAACTTTAGGAAACAAAATAAGCGCCTTAGGACTGAAATTCGACTTTTTCCAAAACAACGCATCTTCAGAATTTAACAACTACTTGTATATCAGGTATAACACAGACACTATTGTTGAGCTTTCAAAGTTTAAGTACGTTGGCATTCCTCAAGACGATGAGAGCACGGCCAAATTCAAGTTGGGGAAATTGCACTTTTTGCAGACGTTTGAGTTCGACGTTTTTGAAAATGAAACGAGTGTTTACATCGACGAGATAACGTTAGTATTTGTTGGGGAGGTCTTGCTTGACAACGTCGCTATTTACAACTAGCCGCCAGCCTTTGAAAGACATTTGTTATTAATTTAATTCTTTATTAATAAAATAATAGTTCATGGAAATTAACAAACTTCTAATTTGTTATTAAAAAATGTTATTCGAAGGGTTAGAATATAAAGAAGACTGAAAAAAGTCTTTCTAGAGATGGCGGAGAGTTGTAAGTATTTAAAAGAAATGTCGTACGCTCTTGTGAACGATCCGGATAACAAGGAGAGTATAGTAGAAAACACATTAAAAGGGATTGAAGGTGATGAAGTCTTGTTATTGACGCACCCAAGAGGGTCACTGTTGTTTGAGAAATTTATACCCTATTTTACTAAAGACCAAATCAATGCACTTTTTGGGAACATTCGCGAGAAACTGATAGAGATAATAGTCGACTCATACGCTTCACGTGTTTTAGAGGACTTGTACAAACACTATGAGGTCTTACTTCCAAGTATTGCGCACGACGAAATAACGAAGGTGTTGGGAATAGTGACCGACCCATTTCTGGAAAAGGACGTGAACCTCTCGCAAATTTTCGAAGCGTCCACGGGGGCACATGCATTTGCGGCGTTACTCCGCATGATCAGACCGTACTCTTCAGATGTCAAAAACTTCATCAATAAAGTGACTGATTGTGTGTTACCGGAAGGCAGTAAAGAAATTGCGGTTGAAGAGATTCCAATAGCGATTGAGTTAATGAAGATACCTGAATCGAGGATTCGAAGCGTCTTACTCCCAGTAATAGCGAATAAGGTACCAATAACTGATAAGGACTGGTCGATATTGGTCGAAGGTGCATTGACTGTAATGGACCAAGCGACGTTACAGACGTTTGGAGAGAAGCAAATCACTGAGGAGAATGTAGTCGACCCCGTTGGGAATCATGTTGTACAAAAGTATTTAGAAATATCGGAGAACCCTAAAAAGGCGTTACAAGTGTGTTACAAATGTATCGCAGAAATAGTGAAAAATAGGTATCACATGTTATTAGTCCAAATGCTGAAAGCGTCACAGAAGTGTGATAAAACTGTACGACAAGAGTTGGTTGAGAGAATAGAAGGGGAGATCTGTGGGAGAGGAAATGTGTTTGAAGAAGGCCGGAAAGAGTGGATGAAGAACCAGAAGAATTTTATCGACTATGGCTTCTCCGTGGTCTTTCAAGAAATTTTTGTGACACCGTGTAAAGCTTCACAGAGTGTCGTACAGAAATTCACCGATTTAAAAATAGAAACCATGTTGAAATATTTCTGCGATCCGATGGGGAGTCGATTAAGTGAGGCTTATATCTCCGTATTACCGAGAAATACCGTCGGTGAATTATTGAAGACTTTATCGGGGAGGTTGAGAGAAATCGCCTGTAACAAAAGTGGGTCGCATATCGTGGATAAGATATTTGAGAAGTGTGACATTAAAGACAAAGAGGCGATGGTCAAAGAATATATGGTGGACTACTCTGTGATGGAAAAGGATTTCTTTGGACGAAAGGTACTTATTAATGCAAAAGTAACGGATTATAGGACAGATGCGTCGAAGTGGAAGTCTCGAATTAATGTTAAGGAAAAGTTTAAGAAGGAATTTTCTAAGTGATTGTTGTGGTAAAGTTCATCGAATATTATTAATTATATTCTATTATTAATATACTATTAGTAAAAGTTGCTAATAGAAATTACTCAAATTCACGAACTTGGGAACAAAAGATACGTGTTTTGGAGTTTCAATGAGAAAACACAAACTCAAACTATTCGATAATAATAAAAGGTGTGTCGCTTTATGGTGGTGAACACGCGACATCATCGTCACCACTTTTTAACATGTGTTTCAAAATATCTTCTCCAAGTGAACTATTCTATGTGTCATTTTTCATGTTAATTTCATATATTGTAAATATGTGTGAACAAACATCTTTGGGTATTTGTTGTGGCTTTGTAATAGCTATTGGGATCTCACACTTTTCATCGTCGAAGTCGCGCTCCTCTGCGGTCCCCGGAGTGGCACCTTTTGGCATCTCGATGTTTATCTTTTTAAAGAAAGAAGACTTAATATCGGAGTAGCTCTCTTTTGACGAGTCGTTTAAGTATTCTCCTTCGTATAACTCGTTAGATTTGTCCATTGCTTTTGCCAACGGTAGATATCTTTTTATTCTTTTTCTTCTTGTTAAAAAACCTACTCTGGCACTCCCTTTTTCCCTCTTTTTTTAATCATTTTCGTATCTGTTGAAATTCATTAAAAAATCTTATAACCTTTTTATTTTAAAAACTATTTTTTTGAAGTTTCTTCATTAGATCATTTAAAATTGAGTGAATGATTCACAAATTATAGTCACTGAAACTATTAAGTAGCTACGTTATGAACTACGAGTTAATCACAATATCAAGTAAATACTAATTCAGTTTTTTAATTAACAACTTAATTATTTTAACTACATTCAAAGTTTTTTATACACAATAATTGGATAGTATACAAGTAAAAGAGTTATAAATAGTGTTAAAAAGATTGTTTTTAACGGTTAATTTGTAAAATGTTTTATATAACATTTTCAAAAAACTTCTACAAAAAAATTTCTCTGAACCTTTTTTCTTTATTATTAAATAATAGTATAAAACTAATTAAATACTCAAACAATATTAAATAGTAAATTTAATTAAAAGTAGTCTATTACAAACATGAAAAAATGTTTTAAAAATGTTTTAAAAATGTTTTAAAAAATGTTTTTCAAATAAAGACGAATTAACTTGTGTCATACATTTTACGAACAAAGTTGTTCCACGAAGCAACTGGAATTTTTTTGGTCCTAAAGTCCGACAAAAGTTCTTTAGAATCAACTTCCAGTACATTTCCCGTTAAGTGCGAGTAGAGTGCAATTAAGGAATTGACATAGACAGTTTGCTCTTCGACTCCAGCCAACATGAGGTGCGAATAATTTGGGACATCTTCAAATTGATTATGAGGGAAGTTGATCAATTCGGTTTGTGTTGCTTCGAGTTGGCTATTTGCAATGTTCACATCGCCTTGAAGGTTCTTTACTTTGGTTTTCAAAACACTGATTTCCTTTTCAAGTACACAGATCGCACCTTTGCGTTTTTCGATTGTTGTCATTACCACTGATAACTCCGCCTCGTTTTGAGTCACTTCATCTCCAAGCGTCTTATTCTCCTTTTCGATTGTTTCGAGTGACTTTTTGGCAGAACCCAACTGGACAGACAAGTAGTCGGACGTGTTCTGAAGAGAAGATTGAATTTGGGAATTCTCGGTCTCCATTTTCGTCAAGTCGCTGCTTATCCCATCAAACACCTCTTTTTGTTTTAAAGTGACTTGGCGCTGTTTCATAGTTATTGTATTGAAAGAATCAAAAAGTAATTCAAGTTGACGCTCTTGACTCTCGATCGCCGATTTGAATCGAAAGAGCTTTGCAGAGAACTCAGTGTTTTCGTTCGTTGATTGGTCACAGCGCTCGGAAAGGCCATTTTTTGTTAAAGATGAGTCAACAACGCAGGGGAATAATGTCGAAAGGTCAGAGAGCTCTTTGTCACACGCAGACTCCTCTTCGACAAGTCGGGCAAGCTCCGCTTCAAGTTCGTCAGTCTTCGACATTTCTCAAATATAAAAACATTTTTTTAGTTTATCTCAAAATGTTTTTCAAATTGCGAAAAAGCAAAAAAATTTAAAAAATCTGGACATTGTTTTTTTTAACATTTGAAAAAAAATGTTTAATCAAAACGAAAGTGTGATCGAAACGAATAATTCGAAATGTGAAAAGACACGATCTTTACAACTCAAAGATGGAACCAACTCAGGAAGTTCAAAAAGTGCTTACTGAGTGCGTCAATAAGACTATCGACTTCGACCAATATTTAAAATGCTTCGAGCAGTCGTTGGTTCGACCAAGTGGAGACATCTCAGATCAGTCATTGATGGAGAAAGTTCAACACGTTGCAGATCTCGTGACTGGAGAGAAGTTGTTGCGCCTCAACGAATTAGTCCAAATTTTCAACTCACAGGCAGAAGTGCTTTATCTGTATTACACAAGTTATTATACTCAACTTGTCTCACTTCTTGATTCGCAGTCCCAAAAAAGGATAGTGACACAAGACGAACGAAGTTATAAAATATCATGTCTTCGAGCTCTTTTTGGAAATATTTATTCACACCTAAAACTCATGTTTGGCTCAAATGTTTCGAGTTTGGCGCCTCGGGAACGCAAAATCCCCACTTTTTTATCCCCCCAAATATCTGTTCATTCCATCACTTCTCAATCTCAACCATTGTCAAAAATCACTTGCAAAAATTCTCTTGTATTGTCATCGACAAAGCCAACAAAACCAATTTTCAAGATTGACAAGATAAAAACTCAAAGTCCTAAAACCCAAAAAATCAAACCTCTTCTTGACTGGTTTGTCCTTCACTCAAATCATCCATATCCAACTGAAGAACAAAAAGAACGTCTTGGGTCCGAGTGTGGGATGTCTCCCAAACAGGTTGGTACTTGGTTCTCGAACAAAAGAAACAGAAACAAGAACCAAAACTAATAAATTATTTGTATAGTTATTTTTATTATATATTTTAGATCAATTATAACTATAAATATAATTATTTAATTATTATATTGAATTATACAGATTAAACTATAAAATAACAAAAATAAACTATATTGCGCCTAATCTTTTTTTTCGTTCTTTGAAAAATTGAAAAAAAAGTGTTTTTTCTTTTCGGTTGGTTGTTCTGACTTTGTAGGAGATTTAGAAATGTTTTTTGGGGAATCTTCTCTGTGAATAGTTGACATTTGTATTTCGCTATTTGCTCGTTTGAACCAACTTCTTGGATTAATCAAGTGTTTTACTTCTCGTTCCGCCTTCTCTGTTTCAGATTTTTTCTTTTTGTCAAGTTTTTTTTCTTTCATTAAAATCTTTGCTCGTTCTCGTTCCACTTTTTCCTCCATGATTGACAACTTGACTTTTCGACTCACTTCGTCTGAGCGATTTCGTGGCGAAGATATCAACGAACTTGGCAACGACTTGACTTTTTCCGTACTTTCAATTTTGATTCGAAATCTTGAATTTACCAGTTGGCATGTCTTTGCGTCAAAGTGTCTTGGCACAGAATTTTGTTTTTCTTTAAGTTTTTCTATTTTTTTGAAAGTCCAGTCGCCAATCACCCCGTCGAGGAGTGGCGGGGTGATTCCCTCTATTTTGTTGAATTTTGACAAGATGTTAATTACAAAACCCTTTTTTAAAGCGCCTTGAAAATATAAAAAGTACTTTTGATAGTTAAAATGAGTATTTGACAACTCACAAAATGGTTCTGAGATTTCGTCTGGGACTGTTTGCACGAATTTTGTGTTTTCACAAAACGGCAATTTCCGTTTTGGAATCGTATAATTAGTCATATCACATCCCACTATAAAAGGATGTGTAATAGCTTGGTCTGGTGTCATTCTTTCTTTTGGGTCAAATGTCAAACATCTTTTTAAAAAGTCAAGTAAAGCGTTTTGTGTTTCTGCACCGAAAAATTGTTCGCCACTCGTTTTATTCTTCAAAACTAAATCTTCCAATTTTTCGTATTTAAAATATTCTTGATCTTGGGGAAGAGTAGTGTTATTATCTTTCTCATATTCTTGAATAGTTTTGAAACGAAATGTATTATTTTCTTTAATAAAATACTTTAAAGTTTTAGTACCTTTTTCTAACATAGTGTCTGGTATTGGACCTAATGTGGAAACCATTCTACGTAACAAGCTATATTCGCTCTTTGTTGAAAAAAGTGGAACGCCAAAGTAAAACACGGCCGTTAAACATCCAAGACTCCACATATCTATTGCACATGAATATGGTATACCTAATGCCACCTCGGGTGATCTATAATACCGCGATTGAATGTATTGATAAAACGTGTGATTCTCAAAACATGCACTTCCAAAATCAATGAGCTTGACTGTAGAAGAATGGTTCACTATTAACACGTTTTCAGGTTTGATGTCACAATGAATGATGTTACCACGAGAGAGTATTTCTAACGAATTAATGATTTGTTTTAAGAATTTCCGGATGATCTGAATTTTGAAGCCATGGTTACTGTTTCGATATAATAACTCACATAAGTCGATACTAGATAGTCATTTCAATGTTATAATATATGTATTAATAATAAATAATATAATATAATACTATTCAAGAATAATTGGATATTATATATATGTTAAGTTATAATAACAAACCCAAGAAATTCAGTCACTATACAGATATGATTATAAAACATAAAGTAATCGATCATTTGAAGAATGTTGGACCTTTCAGATGATTCAAGATATTCATTCACCTTTGTGTTACTCCATTCTACTTCTCTTAGTCGTCTAAACTATAATATACTATATTATTATTATTAACATTAATAAAATATAAAAAGTTATATGTATTCTATTATTTATTATAAATAATCTATAAAATAAAACAAACAATTTGTAAGACGGTAGTCTCAATAAGAGACTGTTTAAAGTACGATGGTATGCTTTTTAATACTTTAACGGCAACATATTGGTTTGTGTTTAAATCAACACACTTCACAACTTGCCCAAAATTCCCTTTACCGAGCAATTGGACTATTTTATATCTACTCAGTGTAATACCATCAAACGAGAATTGCGGTCCTTCTAAAGATGTTGCAGTGCCCAACACCTCGTCGACATGAATGATTAAGTCGAAAGCTTCATTGTCTCTATAATTGTTTTGAGTTGCTTCTTTTGGGGTTGTAATGATTTGTGAAGAAGTATACTTACACCTCTTAAGAACATTGTTGTAACACATCGTCGCATTTTTAGTCTTATTTTCTATTCGGTCGGTGAATGTGTTGTTTTGAATGGTTGGACTAAAACAACTCATCCACTGCTTTTATCCCTTTCAGATTAGTTAATAGTATTGTTTTTAACTATATATACCAATAACATTTTTTTGTTCCTTTCCATATTAAAAACTATTGATGTTTTATAATTAATAAACTTTTTTAAAAGTATTGTTGTTTTGTGAATTATTTCTGTGTCGATCTTTTTACTATAATTAACCATTCAAAGAGTTAAACATTAATATAATTTAAAAAAAGAACAATCAAAGTAGCTTTGAAAAAGTTTTTTGTATTATTAAAAAAACATTTTTTATTACATATATAAAACATTATTATTGTATTTTTAAATTATTGATTCTTTAAAAATAATTATTTTTGAACTTCCCAAAAACTATTAAAATTAATTTGGAAAATAACTTTTATTTTTTTTTAAATAATAAAAACAATAGTAAAATTATAATTTTTTTTACTTAAACTACTTTAGTAACAGAGTATAGTATAACAAATAGTTCATTTAATCTGGTTCTATATAAGCTTCCTCTTCTTTTGCTGTGTCGTTCCTCTTTTCCTTTACTTCTTTTTGTTCTTCGTCATCAAATTGGATGAAGTGTTCTTCCTCTTTTTGATCGACTTTTGCTTCCTCTAGAATTTCTTCTTTCACAGTATGAACGACGTCTTGGCTCACAATGTTTTCTTTTTCAGTCTTATCACTTTCTTTACATCCGTCTACCAATTTTTTAATAAGAGTCTCTTGCACAACAAGTCTTTCATTTAAAGACTTCACTGTGTCTTTCAGAGTTTTTACTTTATGTTCCTGTTTTTTCAATTTCTTTTTCAATTCTTCGATTTCGGTGTCTTTCTCTGTTTTAGTCTCCAATTGTTTTTCCAATGGTTTTTGGCCTAATTTCTCGACTGGTTTCTCTTTCTTGTTGCCCAAACTCTTTCTGCTTTCTGTCTTGTCCTTCTTCTCTTTTTTAGCAAAAGTAAATGAAAGTTTTCGTTCGACTTTTTCTCCTTTACTTTCTCCCTTCTCCTTCTTCTCTTTTTTCTCTTTCTTTTCAGTCTTCTCTTTCATATCCTTTTGTTCTACTTTTTCCGTCTTGACGACTTGTGACGGGGTTCCTCTAGGACTCAAACTTAAATTCGCTATCTCGACTTTACGTTTCACCATTTCAGTGCTATCCTTGGCTTCTTCAGATGGTTTTTGCTTAAATAAAGTGAGTCGACGG